AATATATCACTGAGTTACTTTACTTCCTTAGTTATATTCTTGGTTTAACACTGTAATGTAATTACCTCAGCATCATTTCCTTTTCTTTTTCTGGTGTTGTTTCGTGTCTTACTGCTGTATCTTCTTCTTCTTCATCTTTATGTTCACCAGCTGTAAACTCTGGCAGAAACTTCTGGTTGTTCATCCACGTTTGGACTGCAGTCTTATTCTAGAACCTGAGTGTTGCATGCACATTCATTTTACAGATCTGATATATTTGTATTCAAACTGTTGGATTCCTTGCCTCTCTAGCAGATGCACTCTGACTTCGAAGGAAGCCCCAGGTTAATAGACTCTTAAACATGCATGTGGGTCTAATCTTCTTTTCCCTTCGCCCTGTATCCTCCTTATCTTTTTTTTTTTAATGCTTAACTCTCTATCTTCTTCTCTCTGTAATTTTTTTGTCTACTTTTATTCATTTGACCCTGTAAATCTCAGTGCAAAGACTTTCTAATTACAGTGGAACCTTGGGTCACAAACTTAATTCGTTCTTTGATTCCATTCCCAAACCGAAATGTCAGCGAGCCGAAAGTATCTCCTATTGAATTCAATGCAAATCTATGCTGTTGGTTAGCCGAAAATGACACCAAAGCCAGGTTAGTGCATTTGTGCGCTGAGGAACTTTTCGCAGGTTGGGTCAAAATTTGTTCAAAAATGAGTTTGTTGGCTGATTTTTTTCATGCCTGGAGTCGTTCATGACAGAAAGTACCACTGTATATTGTCTTCAAATTTTCTCAGTGTGCGTCCTAACGCTAACATTTTTTCCCTCCCCTCCATTAAAAAACATAACAACCAGATTTCCTCATAACAGGACATTTTAATGCTATCATCTATCATATTTTTGTGGGATAATCTAAGATTATAATCCCAGCGCTAAGCTTCTTGTCAGACACACTCATCCACTGGCCCTTCAGTATATTCCTAAAAGTGCCTGGTTAAGTTGGTTATTAAACACACAGGTTTATCATTATATAGAATAAACAAATAATCTTAGTCTCTTGATTCACTTTAATGTATTAATTTCTCCCCTAAAGTATCACATTAATGACTCTATCATACCATTTAATCCTCTGTTCTGTATATGATTTGATTGATTTGATTTGATTCAAGAACCGACATCACAGCACTCAGGGTGTTCCCATAAGCGCTCTGTCCCCATCTTCAGCAGCCAACGAAGAGTTCCAATACTAATGGTGCCAGTAGCATTCTGATTAAACATCCATCTTGCCTTTCCTCTGAGCCTCAAGCCTCTCATCACTACCCCCTGCATCAATCTCACCAGACTGTGGTGATCCATCTGCTCCGAACTGTACACGCTCTCCAACAAGGCACTAACCACCTGATTATTGTGCATCAGTATTTCACCAAGCTGTACAGACACCAGTTAATAAATGAAAGGTGGAATATACACATTACTTTGTGTTTTTCCAATTTATTTATTTTACATTTTTCACAGCTTTATAGCACTCCACTCATTTGGATGTTAGCCAGGGAGAATATTGTTCTGTATGCCTTACTGGGAACTGGGAAAAAACATTGCCTCTCATCAAACCAACAAAATAATTACACAGAAAACTTTGTAAAACATAAATTATTTCCATTATTCTTTATTTTTCTATGAAACAGAATTTGCTTCATAGCCCAATTATTTACCCAAAACTGAGAGAACATAGCTAAGTGCATGCATGTTCACACAATTATAAAAAATATTAAAAATAAAACAAATAAGTAAAAGTTGACTAAAGTATAAAAATTTAATAGTCATCGTCTTCTTCTTTTCTTTACTCCTGGAATGCCTCGCTGTGTCAGAGCAGGAATTAAGTAGTATTCTGTTTAAAATATTTACATAAAAACATGCCTCATTTTAAGATATGCTAAATAATAATTCATGCTTCTAGGTAAGTCTTTGTTTTCCCAAGCAGTTAGTTATCTTCTATGTTTATCCTTAGAGGTTACAGAATAAGTCAACTGGAAATGTGTACGAACTGCTAACAGTATAAAAACAATATAAGTACATTTTAACATCACACATGTTAACTCTTATAAGCATGTTCTGCTAATTTTATAACTATTTTTTTAACCAGATAATTGTAAAACATCACAAAGTTCAAGAATAGCCAGTTGTATAATATTACACCATTCTGGAGACTGATATTATTTTATTATTGGAAGCCACCATGGTGCAGATCCAAAAGTCTTGCGTTCTAATCCAAATGGAGCTAGACCTTTTTCAAAAATGACCCTCGTAGTAAATACTATACTGATCTAGCATTTAAAAAAAAAAAAAAGACAGAGAGAAAGAGAAAAAGAGCCTTGTCACAAGAATGCTTTTTAACAAAAAAAATGAAACAGACCCATCTGTCTGTATACTGCCATTATGAATGCCCTTAGGCGTCTGTCTTTGTGGGAAATGTCCAATGAAATTATAAATATTATAATGGACATGGAAGTCCAGCACTGAAAGTCTAGCATGCATAAGAATTAAAGTGCTCTATTTGTGTAGATAATTGAAATCCCTAGGTCTGCAGGCTGCCCCCTGTTGATTTCTAAAGGTGCAGCCTATGAAGAATTAGAGTGTCAAAATACGGAAGTGAGGTTTAACAGTCACAAGCAGGACCTGCTGATTCCTTGAATGAGCCCAGTGCCAGAGCACCATGTGTTGGCTCTGCACTCATAGAAGCCGCCTTGGATGGCGGGGAATGCTCATTCATGTTTCTTCCCTGCTTCCTCTCGAGGGCCAACAAGTCCGCACGGGGCTGTCCAGAGGGGTGCTTTAGGGACAACACCCATGAATCAGGGTATGACAAAGCCACCACATAAGTGAGGTTGTAAAATGTATGTCTGTGCCCCATAACACAAACTAGGATACAGTAAATTAAGTAGTAACCAATATTTTATTCAGTACCATAAGATGTGGTGGGTATATGGTTATAGACCCATATTTTTTTTTTTTACAGAGCTGAGTTTCTGGTGTTAATGGAAGAAATAAAAAACAAACAAAAAAGACAACTGAAATATTTTGGCCACATTAAAAGACATGACAACAACATCAAGAGATGGCTAAACGGCAGTCTGAAAGAGTGTATGACCAAGACAAGAGACAGAATGTTGGAGATCCACTGCAGCCTACCTTCAATGTGGAGATGGCTCCTAACAGATTTACAGACCAACCAGCACTTGACGAATAATGTTGCTGATATCGCACCAACTCATTTCCTAGTATCCCTTGTATTTTGGTTCAAGAGATTTTAAAATAATTGTAAAGACCTCTCAAGTTGATATCAACATATGAAAACAGGCTGGCAAGCCACTGCAATACATGAGCTACTTACTTTTCACAAACAAGTCAAAAACACAAATAAAATAAAATTATCATGCTTTAGAATCACCACTGTGGACAAACTGTGCTTGCCAATTAAAATACACTTTAAAATTTACTTAGCACAAAAATGAAAATTTGGAACATTCGTTGTATTGTGACCATTTTAAAACATGACTAACACTGTTTAACAAATCATTTGCATAATTTTCAGCTCTTCAGAGTTCATGTCTGCCATGTCCCCTTAGACTCTTTCAGGCCCAGATGATCATAGCTGAGGTCTGTGGGAGGCAATAAATGACAACTGCAAATTCATAGGTGTACTACTTCCACAGGGGCCATACACACATCTCATTCAAGAAATAAATATACTGGCCAGCTTTCTTTAGAACCCCTGATTAAATATTGGAAGTAAAAGCATACAGAAGGGTACAATAAATAATATCCAGTTAAATACAATGTGTTCTTTGGGACAAAATGAGTTCATGCATGTTCTTTTTAATTTATGTCCACATTTGCATTGGTCAGCCCCTGCCTCACCTTCCAGATGCCATGCTTTCTTTCTCTGTTCTTTCTAATGCTGACCTAATGAGTTGTCATAAGTATCTTGGCAATTGTAAGCTCAGCAATTTAAAATTTAAAAAAAAAGATTACAAAAGTATACCTTTTTTCATTGAAATAGATATGGCACATAATCAAATTATTATAAGATTTAAATATATATCTTTTAATTAGTAACACAAGATAACAAAAGCATAATTTTCTTAATAAAGGTAACACCATTGACTATACATATTTATTTACGCTGCCTATGAAGGAAATGACATTTTGCATCATTTCCATTGTAGCCTCTTGAGGACAGTCTTCCAGATCTTTGCAGATCAAAAGATTTGGGTTACCCCACGTGAACTGTCTACAGCAGTATTTTAACCAATGCATAATAATAGCAGGAATCGTGAAAGACAAGCTCCATTTAACAGAGTAATTATGTAGCTTATTTTCCCCTGCAACAATATAAATTTTATTTTTAACCCGGCCTCTATAATTCTAATAGATCTGACAAATTACTGGGGCAGCAGTACTAGATAAAAAGGTATTTAGCATATTGTATCAAACTGGGAGAACTCAATGTAGAAACAAAAGCATATTTCCTTTTGTCCATGCAAATATGAGGAGCAAACATTAGAAGCGTTAAAGGTGCCTAGTTGAAACTTTCTCCTGGACAGTGCTCATATACTGAATGCCCTCAGAGTGGCAAGGCAACTCAATTGAACGAATCAAGTAATGATTGTGAATCTGCAACACTAAAGAGACTACACAAACATAACATCAAAAGGGGTGAAGCCAGACAAGAGCGCTACAAAGGGACCCAAAGAAGAATAGTAAACCAATACAAAACTAGTGTCATAAGCCACTACACGCTGAGGGAAATACTGAAGAGGGGATCTGAGCACTTATGGACTAAATGGTTTGATGTGCAATGATGATAATTTGTAGACTAACTAATAATTGTACAACAATATAATTGATGAATTAGTATTAAAAAAACTTACAATGATTAAGTCTGAGCATGCATATTTAGCCTACATTTCAATTTCTAACTAGCTGACACATAACAAAGTTTATGTCTAATTATGCATTGTTATTTCTGTTCTGGGTGAAAGTAAAGTGGTTGTGGTAAAGGCTGACGGAAGTAATTTTTCATTTTTACTATCCCATCTTTACTACCAGCAATGTACAGGTTGTCAAAATCTGCAAGACCAAAGCTATCTGTTCCTATGCCAGCAAAGCCAGATGAAGGTTTACTTGGAATACCAACAACTATTACAAGTGGCTGTTCATCATAAGCCAGATATGCTACCTCTTCCTGAAAGTAAAAATGTAAAGAGAACAAAATAAGTACACATATGTAGAACTGTTGATCGTATTTAAAAACAAGAGAAATTACTATGTGTATCATCTAATATTCCTGCAACCTTATGGATAATAAACAGTACAGTACAGATGATCTTGTCTCAGAGCACAGTGTTCAGTTTGATGTGCAGATATTAATTTTCTAGTCCAGTGCCACTTATGTGATTATCTTCTGACTGTGATGGCTGGGTTTCTTTTCTAGGTGTTATCTGTTATAGGAATAATGTCCTCTCAGATTAAGACTGTTTATATTTTGTCAGACTTTGCTGTCTTAGCTTTGACTCTGGATAGATGTCCACACAACTGTGCTAGTCTGACTTTTGGTACAACATGCACTTTGACAGACTATCTTCCAACACTTGAGAGTTTCATCAATTCATGTTTTAGTCTACACATAGTTTTTTTTTTAAAAATCATTCAGCCAAAGATTGTTGTCTTTGGCACAGGCAGTTATTTTATTTATAAAGAAATAAGAAAGAAGAAAGTCAGGCCCTCTTAAAGTATGTGTCATTTCTTCTTTTTGGAGGTATCATCCCTCTTTCTTTACTTAACACCTCATCTGTTAACAAATAATGGTGTATGAGGTTGGGGTTACCAGTTAGTAGACAGATCGTCCCCTGCATATTGAACCAGTCCATAAACTCTATCCCCTCATTATATCTCTCAGCTTGTAACTTCTGATGATACCAGTTCTGCATAGGCCCCTTCCACTGTGCTCTTGTCTGGCCTCACTCCTTTTCACATGCAATTCTTGAGGCCTGATCAGGGTTGTCAATTAACCTCCATCACTTTACAGTCCTGCCTTTTGAGGGAATTCACCATATCAGCCCAGCCTATTACTCTGCAGAGGCTGGATTTTGTTGTCTATATTTTCAGTCCAATTTAATGCATACTGAAAGTGGTGTCGGGCACTCAATTGGCACTTGTACTCATTCTTAACAAGGTAATACATCATCAAGCTTTTTGGTTTTAAAAATATCCTTGGCTCCCACGTGAATCCAGCCTCAAATGGGTAACAGATAAAATCCTGGGAAGTAATGGTAGCCAGTGTGATGTTGACCACATTAACCACCGACTGGTCTATAAGATACAGGTCTAGCACGCTATACCCAATATGTCTGAGTGCGTGGAAAAGAATCCATACATTATCTCATCAAGTGAACAAACCTGATGAATACCTGATGAATAATGTCCAATTCAGGATTTATCTTTTTAACCTGCTGCCATTTTGTTTAAATTCACTGTGTAGGAGAAACATGTTTTTCTATCTATCTATCTATTGTCTTCTTCACTTTTACCGGGTTGTAGCCCAGTGTCGTGGTTTAAAATATTTGTTTTGAGCCTCTCGAGTGATTTGAGTGACAGTTTTCTGGATCTTCTGGCCGTATTCAGCTACTCCATCTATCCATTTTTTCCTGGGTCTTCCTCTGGCCTTTCTTCCCGATGTTCTACTGTAAAAGGCCTTATAGGCAATCTGATCCGGTTGCATTCTTACTAAATGGCCAAACCACTTCATTCTCTGTCTTTCAATATGTTTCATGCATGCTCTTGTTCCAACTTTGTCTCTAATGCTGTCGTTTGTGACTCTGTCTCTTCGTGTATTGTTGGTGACTCTTCGGAGACATCGCATTTCACATGTAGTTATTTTTTGCATATGTAATTTGTTCATTGTCCACGTTTGGCACTGATAACATAACGTAGGGATGAAAATGCTGTTGATCATCCGTTGTTTGGCTGGTAACGAGATCTTTGGTTGACGAAGAAGTGGGGCCAGTTGGTAGTTGACTGCATTGGCTTTTTTAACTCTAGCTTGTATCTCTTTATCGAGTCTTCCATCTTCTGTAAATATGCATCCTAAGTACTTGAATTCTTGAACTTGTTCTAATTGTATGTCATTGATCTTTATGTTTACATTACTGTGTTTCTTTCCTATGGTCATTACTTCAGTTTTTGAGGTGTTTATTTTCATGTCAAATTTTGTACAGTTAGTGAGCAATAAATCAACATGTTGTTGTAGTTTTTGTTCTTCTTCTTGTAACAAACATTGGTCATCTGCAAAGAGTAGTTCATTTATAATATCTGTGTTTTGGTTTGACTCCTGTGCAATTTCATCCATATATGTGATGAAGAGTAGGGGTGATAGGACACATCCTTGTCGTACTCCTGATGTAATGGGGAACCAGTCTGTCATACCTTCCGTTGTTCTTACAGCGCTCTGGCTATTTTGATAGAGAGCCATTATGTTTCCCAATAATTGTCCCGGTACACCATATTCTTCAAGAATGTTCCATAGTTTATTTCTGTTAACCCTGTCAAAAGCCTTCTCTTGATCAATGAATATAAGATTCTGGTGTTTATTATATTCGATTGTCTGTTCACAAATTTGCCGAAGAGTAAATATTGCATCAGTGCAGCTCTTTCCTTTTCTAAATCCAAACTAATTGTTACTTAATTGAGGTTCTAATATCACCCTCACTCTTCGTTTTAATATTTTTGCAAACATCTTTCCTACATGGCTTTGTAAAGAGATACCTCTGTATGTTTCACAATCTCGTTTATCACCTTTCTTCTTTCATATGGGAACTATAATTGCTCTCTGCCAGTCAACGGGAACTTTCATTTCCTCCCAGGCCATATTGAACATTCTTGTCAGCCATTTTACTGCTGTTGCCTTACATGCAAGTATTATGTCTGTTGTAATACCATCTGTTCCGGCAGCTTTGTTTCTTTTGCTTTGCTCTAGGATCTTTTCAACTTCAGATTCTAATATATTGGGTTCTTGTTCTTGTCCAAATTTTATTTTATTAGACACTGGTTCTTGTGGTCCACTATTCAGTAATTCAGAAAAATATTCTTGCCATCTTCTTTTAACATTTTGGGTTTTGGTGAGTGGTTTTTTAGCCTTGCTGTTTATGATCTTTGATGGGTTAAATTTCTCTTCTCTCAGTCTCATAGCCTTGATGCTTCGGTAGAACTGACCTGGTGAATCAGTGCATAGCCTTGCTAATTGTTCTCCGTAGTTTGCCCATGATTCTGTTTTCGCCGAATTTACTTTCCTCTTGCTCTTTGCTCTTGCTTTTCTATATTTGATGTAGTCCTCATCTAATTTGGACTTTTGCCACTGATGAAAATATTTCTTCTTTTCTTTGATATAAATTTTAACTTCTTCATTCCACCATGCTGTTTGTTTCATGTGCCTTCTTGGCTTTCGGAGTCCGCACTTTTCTATCATTACATTCAGAATGCAGGTTTTAAAAATTTGCCACTCTTCTTCTATGTCATTTCCTCTCTCTAGAGTACTGAAGGTGTTTTTAACTGTTTCCTCAACTTGAATTGCTAGATCTTTGTCTTTTAGTTTCTCTATGGCTATCTGATCAATTAGCTGTGGTGTTTTATCAATGCAAATTCTTGTTGGTTTATAGAGCCACAGTACTACAGGTCTATGGTCAGAGTCTATTATAGCATTTGGGATGTCCCTGGAGTTCTTTATTCTCCATCTGTCGCTCTTTTTTGTGAGAATGAAATCTATCTGTGATGCTTGGTTAATATTATTCCATTTATACCAGGTCAATATCATGCTTCTCCTATGTTGGTATAGCGTGTTGCTGATGATTAGTTCATGCTCTGCACATACATTGAGTAATTGTTTTCCATTGTTGTTACATTTATTTTCTTTGTCACTAAATGGTCCCATATATATGTACCATGGAGGTCGAGGTTCTCCCACATGTCCGTTGAAAATCTCCCATCACGAACAAGCCATCAGTGTCTGTAACTTTACTGATGGTTTCACTAAGTTGGTAAAAAAATTCCGTTCTTTCTTCTTCAGTGTAAGTGTCGTTACAAGGAGCATAAACTTGAATATACGATACTCTTCTTTTACCTGCAGCCAGTCTGATACTTATGATTCTCTCTGACACGAAATCTGAATCTAGTAAATATTTTGCTGTTTCTGGAGCAATGATAAAACCCACTCCATGTTTGTTAGTTTCTTGTGGTTGGGTCCCTTTCCAAATCAGAACAAAGTTCTTATGAATTTTCTGGACGCCTTGAGCTTTTCTTCTGATATCAGCAATTCCCAAAACTTTGATTTTACTCTTAATCATAAATTCAACCAATTCAGCCACTTTATCCCCCATACCACAAATGTTCCATGTAGCTATCTTAAAAACTGTCGTGCCAGATGATCTGTCTATCTTGGCCGGTGTTTCTTTCATGACTTTCCTGTCTTGTGTGTGGCGGTTTGAAGCGCTGGTGTAATCGCGCTTTTTCTTCAAAATACACCATAAATCTTGAGCAATGGTGCTTGAACAAACAAATCCCCTACCGGCTTGCAGGGCCTGTCGTTGGATCATCCTTGTTTGAACAATAATTAGATGGAAATCCCATAAAACAAAATTTATCAAAAACTGCTTAGTGATAGCCGCAGCTTATTCTGCCATCTAACAATGAGTGCCAGATGTTAAACATGTGTTTAACACTTATAAAACAGCAGAAATTGTAGATAATTCTGGTAACAATACACAACTGAAAAAAATATGTCAAAGAACTTTTGTTTTCAATCCAGCAGCTAGTAAACGTGTGTTTAGCTAGTAAATGTGTGTTTAGCTAGTAAACGTGTGTTTAGCTAGTAAGCGTGTGTTTAGCTAGTAAACATGTGTTTAGCTAGTAAGCGTGTGTTTAGCTAGTAAACGTGTGTTTAGCTAGTAAGCGTGTGTTTAGCTAGTAAATGTGTGTTTAGCTAGTAAGCGTGTGTTTAGCTAGTAAATGTGTGTTTAAGTGTGTGTTTTTAACATTATTGCTTTTAAATAGGAATAAACTAGCCAGAGGCCCAGTAAGCCAATGGGAAATTTATTTGTTCAAGCCACACTGCCCAAGAATTAAAAAGAAAGCGACTTTCTATCAATATTGTGCCAAAAACATGAGAAACATTAGATCAAATGGTTTAAGCAACTTGTCAGAATGCTTCTTTTTCTTCTTAGTGTTCACCGGATGTTCACTCCTGCAGAAAGCTGTGGTTGTTTGTCCACCACTGGATTTTGGTCTTTTTTCAGAACTTGAATTTTGTGTGCACATCTATTTTTCAGCCCTGGCTTAATGTTATGCAAACTGTTGGTTCCTCATCTCTCAAGCAGATGCACTCTGACTTTGAAGAAGTCAGAATGCAGCAACAAGTTTTGCCTGAGAAGATTTGATGCAGGAGCAAGAGGGCACTCAAGAAAATATAGACTGACCACATTAAAGACATTGTACATTCTAAGGAATGACAGTAGCTGGTGCCACACAGAGAGTAGTGAACCACACAACTTTTCCACCCTGCGATGTCTGATGGCAAAGGTTAAAGATGATGATAAGTAAGTAAACTACACGAAAACCATAATTACTGTTAAGTGCCGATTGTTTACTCGAAAGTATTTCTATGTATACAACTCTTTGTTCACACATTTATGGGTGCAAATTGATCCAATTCATTGCACGCATTATTTTTAGACAGTGCACTATCTGATTTAATGTTCAACTGCCATAGAAACCAAAGTTCCAAACAACAGCACAGGCTGAAAAATGTGCCTTTCTGTGGCTGAAGCTCTGAAGTTGTTTCAGTCAGGAATTTTTTTCTAATTCTGATAATGATAATTTTTAATATTTCAGAAAGTGATTTGGATAGCGGTTAGCTGTTCGTTCTGATGAGGTAAACCCAGGTGGACCCATTTCATTTGCAAAAGATGTGATAGTCACCCACATCTGCATCCAAAGGACTGTTTCAGATCACCATACCATGCCTTTTTGTCAATGTTTTTTTTTATAAACACCACCCTCTCTACCATTTTTACAAAGGGAAATTAATGTGAGCCAAGTCTGTCAAAATTCAAGGGCATAAAAGAGTAATAAACATGTGTTACCTGGACAAAGAGAGGCAGTTTGTGCTAGTATCTACCTGAAAGCAATTCGCCTACTTGATCGCAAAAGTGGTATTGATGACGACGATAAATTAGTAAATTGAATGAAAGCCATAAATTACAATAATTTTGAGAGAAACAAACAAGCATTACCTGGATAAAGAGAGACAGTTTGTGCCAGCCTCCGCCTGGGGGCAATCTACCTGAAGTTATTACTTTTGATCTTGCTGTGGAAATAACAAAATGAAAACTGAAATGTAACATTTTCCTCAATGTATCTTGGATTATATATTCCCTTTATAACCTGCAAAAGTAATTTATTAAGATATGTATTTTCTGATATTTCAACAGTTGTTATTTATTGTCACCAGTTCAAAAAAGTACCCCACTCCATCGACGCAGCAGGGGAGAACTGGACTCATGAACCAGGTCGGCCCACCTTTTGAAATTGTTTAGGAAATAACGGGCCCAGACAATTATTGATGAAGGATTTTCAACTGAAGATCGTTAGACCCCTGCTGTGCATGCTTCCCTGTAGAGTTTTTCTTATTTATTGTATATTATTTCCTCTCAACCGCATTTATTACTGATTTCATATAAATTTACATAAATTTATCTGCTTCTGTCTTTTTTCTGTTTATGTATTGATAATGATAGCATCATTATTATATAGAGTGAATACTTGACATGTGAGTTATTACAAGAAAGATATGTGCTGTACTGCATTATTAGTAATGCAGAATTGTGATAACTATATGAAAAGTGGCAATATGACTGTCATACTATTTGTGTTTGTTAAGTACAATTATAAGAAAAGAAAAACTGAAACATGTTAAGACCTCTAGAAAGACTCACAAGAAGAAGTCAGAAGACAAAAAAGAGAAAACATCCAGTTGTTATGGAATAAAAGAGTATAAGCAAATGAACTGACACAGCTGGTGAGGATCGCAAGAAATGGACAATTAGTTATTAATTAATTCTGCTCAAGCCAGTCAGCAAGGCACTTGACGATGATATGTTGAGTTCTTTTGCAGCGTCTGCCATAACTGCCTGTAATTACCACCTCTGTGGTGTAGGCAAGGGAAAAGGGGTTGAGCCTGAGAATTTAGGGCCGCATAGTTAATGCTGTCGACACAGACAGTGCAGGTTAGAATTGTAACTTTGCCTTTAACAGAAACAAATATCCATCCTTACTGGGGATTCAAAGCCGACTCTTCCACAAGACAGCCCTTAGTTCTTAACCATTTTGCCAGCTGCTCTTCAACATTTGCAGCTGGTTTTTTTCTTCTTGCATATGTAAATAGAAAACACATATTTAACCTTAGATTTAATGTTGTGATTAAAAATTATATTTACCTGCATCATTAGCAAGAATGTAGGTGCCATTTGAAAGTGCAAAAAGAAAAATACCAAGAGCTGAATTCACTGGACAACCACCATTATTTATTCGAGCTGCAACAAACACTCCAGTTGAACCATTCACAGCTGGCAGCTGAAAGTCCACTTCAACGTATAAATCTTCCCTGTAAAAATTGTACATTATGAAATTATAAATAATTATAAATACTATGTTCAATAGACATATATCACATAACGATACAAACACAAACGAGGCTGTGAAAACAGTTGAAATGAGACGTGGGCAACCAATTTTGTTGTTGTTGTTGACTTGGAATGAACCTGATGATTTGCTTTGATTTAAGAATCCACATCATAGCACTCGGTTCATTCCAATAAGCACTCACTCCCCATATTCAGCAGCCAGCAAAGAGTTCCAATGCTAATGGTGCCAGTAGCTTTTTGATTAAACGTCTGTCTCGCCTTTCCTCTGAGCCTCGAGCATCTGACAGAACCTCTCATCACTCCCCCCTGCATCAATTTCATCAGACTGTGGTGATCCATCTGCTCCTCCAAACTGTACACACTCTCCCACAAGGCACCAACCACGTCTGCCTTATCATGCATCAGTATTCCACCAAGTTGTGCAGAGTCAGCCAGTCTGTCCGCCTGTTCATTTCCCAACACACTGGCATATCCCAGGTGAAAAAATCCAGACATTACTCCTCATCCGTGTCCTCTGTAGCGAGGCATGCCATTCTGCATAAAGCACGCCTGTCCTGATCTTCCTCAGCATGCTTTCATAGTCAGTTACAATCACGATGTGTGTGTGTGGTGTTCTCTAACCAGCGGAAAGCTGCTGTGACCGCCTCCACCTCCATTCTTAAGCTGGATTTTGTGGTATCATATGCTAGGCTCTTCTGCACCAAACGTTGACCATTACCTTTCCGCTAAGAAACCCCAAGCACTTCTTTTGCTTCTTGACACTGAACCATCTGTGTAAATGATCAAATCCTCTGAGCGAGCATTATCTTTAATTAATTGCTGAAATTCCACCTCCGTGACACCTGCTGGCCAGTCTTTGCATTCCCGGCTCAGTGTGATTATGACCCTACACAAGTCTGACAGTTCAGGTTGCAAAAAATGCATGAAACTCACTCACAATATAACCCAGTGTGTCCTTTACACACCAACACTTCCTATTGAATCTACATCAATTCCTCTGACCTTACACCAACATGAAACAAGAGCAGTCATGCCTTGCCTGTATCAGGTTTTGTCTTACTCACCATCCATTCCCCAACAAGTATGTATCTGGAATTTACTCAGCCTCATAAAATGGTCAAATTCTTGTGTGGGTTCCGGGACCCTTTTTTGGGAAAGGGGGGGGGGGGGTGGGGGCCTGCCCCCTAACAAGCAAGTCGTAAAAGGTGACTAATTAAATGTTTTTTCTTTAAAGTGTGAGTACATATGCCTGAGAGGCAAGGAACCAACAGTCTGCTAACAAATATGACAAACTGGTAAAACTGATGTGCACACAAAACTGAAAAAGGGGAGCGGGGAGGCCAAAGTCCAGAAATAGATGAAAAACCAGAACCTTCTGCAAGAGTTTACAGCCGGTGAATACCAACAAGAAGAAGAAATGGTACAAAAGATCCAGGACAGTCGCCAGCGTAATAGTAACCATATCTTCATCTTCTGCATTCGCCCTTAAAAGGGTGGCTGGTATGTTGTGTTGTGGTATACAGCTAGACTGCTTCATCTGTACCTTTCAGCACAACACATCCAATTTCAGCAAACCCTTAATTAGTCACCTTCTGCTACAAGGGAGGGTAAAAAATGTAATGCCTCATAAGTTTTGACTGCATTAAACAGGCAAGAAAACAGATAAAATTCACTATAAAATATAGCCCCAAGTCTGAACTTGACAAATTTATTTCTCAATGTAGTCTCCATTATTTGTTATAGTTTTTTCAAATTTTTCACGTTGGTTTGTATCCCCACATAGTGAAAATATGTGTCCTTTTTCCTAAACCACTGCGTACAACAAGTTTAAGGGTATCTGTGTTTGCAAAGTGATGTCTGCAAGGATCTTTTTTTAATGATGGTATGGACACCGCCTTTGCTAACAGACAACATGGAATTATGTTCATCCAGAGTTACCCCACCGACGGTCAGCATGAATGATGTCATCAACTCATCAATGTTGTGTGTGTAGTAACTGCAGCTGACAGACGGCCAGTTCGCTTTGTGTCAGCCACTGAGGACTGACCTACTTCTGCTTCGTCCTAACGATGTACCCTGAGTTCAAACATTTGTGGATATGAATTAGGGTCTCGACTTCAGCATTGAGGAATTCTATGACATTACGTTGTTTTAATGGAACATCCTTGGAAGCCATTTTTAAACTATTACAGAGGTGCCATCTTTTACTGAAATAGGTTGGCTATTCAGCACCGAAGAGAGTCCGGGGAATCCTGCTAAATTTATCAATTGCACACTAATACAGTATTTACATAGATAAACAAACAGAAAGCATTATTTTTTACCGTCCCTCCTACATGTTTGCTAAAGGAGCAGTGGAAACCCGCACAGAGGTGCTGCCTTATTATACCTTATATTTATTTTATCAACATAAATATGGGCCTAGCACATATGCCATTATGTTTTAAAGGATTAAAAATAGTCATACTTTCAGGGTTAAATCAGAACTTTGAACAAAAATATCTCCCCAAAAGGCAATCATGTATTTAAATTAAGGCAAAGAACATATTAAGATTAGTATGTAGATACCATATTTCCACAAGTATAAGACAATCTCATGTATAAGATGCACTTTGATTTCGGGACTGGAAATGTTGGAGGGAAAATAAATAATATGATTACAATAAGATCTACTAGCACAGTATATATGACATACTGTTTTTAGACTGTTATTCAGAAAATAAGTGCATTTTATACTTGAGGAAATATGGTAGTTACAAAAGCAAAACTTCAAACACACACAGCCACACCTTAAACTTGTTTTATCCTAAGATAATGTTATTTTAATAGATATTTCAATCAGAACAAAATTGGGCATAAACAGTTTTTGTCATAAGGGAATAATAAAGTAAACGTAAGGGCAGACTGGGTTGGTGTTACAACTGGCTAGATCTTATAGTATCTTATAGTAGATCTTATTGTAATCATAGGAAGTTTTCAAAGAAAAAAAGGAAATCAATCAAGAAAACAGTTACAGTTGAGAGGATCCACTCCACTAAACTGTGTTATTTTTGACTTCACAACTAGCCATCTACCAAAAACGTTGCACAAAGCATAAATTCCATAGTACTAAAGATGGATCTGCGTTGCAAATTGTTTTTGTGAACTGAACAGTGTGTCCATGAAACTAACCCACGACCTTTAGACAATAAGGAAAATGGCCAGACCACTTCCCCACAGAGAATAATTTAGAAAACAGCAAATGCACAGTGAGCTTGATACTGAATAAGTTAACAACATGAATGTAAACTGGGAAAGCTACATGTGTAGCTGTAACATCAGCACTGTAAGGACTAAGTAGAGGGATAATACTGAATCTCTGATGCCAACATGACTGTGTGACCTAGGAGTAAAGCTTGGTAAAGCACGTCAATGCTGTCTACAAGGTCAAGACAGGAGACACTAAAGCTGACTTCTCATGGGAACAATCAGTAGAGGTACTTTAGAGTGGCTGCTGCATCGGAGGACTGAGCACACATGGGAATGCACATTGTGCAGTGACTGCGACTGTGATAACATTTTAAAAAGGTATCGTCCTTACCATGAGCTGTTACCAATAATATTGATGGCCTTGCCTACTTTCTCGGCCTGACACCATGTAAGTGGTGCGCTCAACATCATCTGTCTGATGAACTGGTTGCTGCCAAATTTAAGGACCTCAAATGACCCAGTTTGCTGAGCAAGGTTATTGGGTTCTTGAAACAAAGTGGAACCTGTAACAAAAGCAAAACATGCACATAACAACTGTTGATCTCTGGATTACCTTGCTCAACATCTCAGTTTTGTCAATGTTCTGTTAACTATATACACAGAATATTGCTTTTCACTAACTGATGCGTCTTATTTTTTAAGAAGTAAATGGTGTAACATTTTATCATCTACTAAGCAGCTTTTCTTTATCGTTTTCTGCATTTTCTTCTACAGCATTTGCTCTTAAAAGGGCATCTAGCAAATTGTCTAGTGGTTTACAGCAAGGCTGCAATATCTTTTGGCCAACACATCTGATTTCAGCAAACTCCTAATAAGTCAACTTTTATGACATGCTTGATAGAGGGCAGGGGGCTGCCATGGTGTAGCAACAAGATAATCACCTGCAGATCGGGAGGTTTATAGGTTCAGGTCCTGTTGGAGTCAAGACTTAATTTGTTAGAGGGCAGTGGTCTCAAGGCATGGTGTCTGCCTCAAGTGCTAGAGGTTCTGGGTTTAATCCCCGGTAAGGGCTGGGATTTTTTCACGTGGACTTGTTGGACTTCTAGTAATTCCCTCTGGTCTCTGATTAGTGGGATCGGACGCTCATGTGCATTTTTGCGCAAGTAAAAAATTCCTTGGCAGTTAGAAATAGAAAAGACTAGCCTTACAGCGCTCTCCGGGCAAAATTTTGAGATAAAAATCTACCCAAAGTATTTCAGGATCCTGTGCACTGTGCTTAGTTCTTCGGACTTCTTCTTCTTCTTCTTTCGTTCGCCTGAAATAAGTTATCTATATCAGCAGTTTTGTCTCTTGTATAAATTTCACTGTCGTTGTTAGTTCATTCAGTGGTCCATAGAGTTTACGTTCCACTGTTGTTCTTTCTGGCCAAAAGGTTTGCCTTAATGTGTCAAATTCGGTGCAGTCCTGGAGTACATGCTCTGCGGTCTGGGGCACATTTCCACAGGTGCACATGGCTGATACACCTATCTTGAATTTTGTGAACATGTGGTTACGTAATCGGTTGTGCCCTGTTCTGAGGCGGAAGATAATGACTTGTTCTGGTCTGTCCATAATAAAATAGTCGTCTTGTGCTGGGGCTGGTGGTTTCCTGATCGATTTAATGATTCTTTTCTTTTGGTGGTATGTGACTGGTACATCTGGCTGCTCTTTTTTCGCACCTTCCCCTGCCAGTTGATCAGCTTTCTCATTTCCAGGCACTCCACAATGAGACGGTATCCACTGCATTACGACTCTTCGCTGAACGCTGAGTTGTGTCAGCAGTGTTTGCAATTCTGGTAGTTTCCTAGACTGGAGTGCTTCAAGTACTGATTTAGCATCTGTAAGCATTACCACATACTGTGAGCCAAGGTTGGTATTTAGCAGTTTCTCTGTAGCTATCTTAATAGCCTGGGTTTCTGCATCGTAGTTATGGCAGTACTTCCCGGTTGGTACGCTGGACTTATCCCTAGTACCATCTGGGAATTCGATGTACACTCCAGCACCACCATTTCTAACTGCACTTTCTGCGGACCCATCTGTATAGACTCTGACCCATTGTTCTTGTGGGTATTCTTCATCAATATAACTGAGGGTGGCCATTTTGCGTTGTACACTATCTTGCTCTTTCTTGTCAAATATCCCTTTCACATTTGTCTGGATTTGTACCGTTAGTTTACATTTTTCTCTCCATGGGGTTTGTTCCGGAATACTTTTTAGTGGGCAGCCAATTTCTGGAAGGTCAGGAGTTTGTCTACATATTCTTTTTGCTTGGTGTATAAAGCTGCTTCTTTTTAACCGTCCCAAGGCTAGGTTCTTAAATCTATTTTCTATCGGGTGATCTGGCATACTGAGGAACTTTTCAGCTTGTATTTGCAACTTTGTATCTCTGCGTTCTCTCAGTGCCTGTGTTTTCCCCAGCTTTCTCCATTTCTAATATGGGGGTTGATTTCATCCCTCCTGTGATGACTCTGAGCGCTTGATTTTGCACTTTGTCTAACTCCTTTAATGTGGTACTAGATGCTGAAACACCATGCAGTTGACCCATATTCCAAGTGTGGAAGTATGCTCTGCTTGTATACTTTATTGAGTATTTTCCCATCTGCTCCCCATGTGGTTCCACTTAGTTTTCTTAGTATTGCTGTCTTCCTCCTGGCTTTGGTTGCTGCCTTGTTGATATGTTTTCTCCATGTCAACCTGTCATCAAATGTGACTCCTAGGTATGTGGGCTCTTTATCATCTCTCAGGGGTATTTCGTTTATTTTGATGGTGCCAGCTTTTTGCTTTGGGGAGAGGGTGAATAGTGTGGTGCTACATTTGTCTGTGTTGATGCTGACACACCATCTATTGGCCCATGCCTCAAGTGCATTTGTAGCCCGCTGTAGTGTTTTTGTGGCTATCGTTGCATGTTCATTGGTGCACCACAGTACCAGGTCGTCGGCGTACATTGCCATTTTGATTCCATTTGGTATCTCAGCAACCAGATCGTTGATAAATAAAAGGAAAAGTGTGGGCGACAGGACACCACCTTGAGGGACGCCTTGTCGCAGTAGAACTTTTTTACTTTTAAAACCATCTACCTGTACCCGGGCTCTTCTGTTATGTAGATATGCTTTAATCCAATTGTACATTTTTCCATTTATTTTATAGTTTCTCAATTTCTTCAAAAGCCCCTCCTTCCAAACCTTATCAAAAGCTTTCCTTAAATCTATCCATGCCGCGAGTACCAGTTTCTTATCTTGAAAAGCATCCTCTATTTCTTGGGAGAGGTATGTTGTCTGGTCTTCCGTAGAATAGAACTTTCTAAAGCCCGCCTGCTGTGGTGTAATGATGTTTTCACTTTCAATGTACCACTGTAGTCTGAGGTTGGTGATGCGCTCCATTGTTTTACAGAGACAACTTGTAAGGCTGATTGGTCTGTAGTTGGAGGCATTAGAACTGTCTTTCCCAGGCTTTATGAGGGGTATCATAATTGCCTCTCTCCAGATCTGTGGAACATTCCCTGTTGCCCAACAAGCATTAAATATCTGTAAAAGCTTTGTTTTGGCTACTTTTCCTAAGTTTCTGATCATTTCGTTTGATATACCATCTGCTCCTGGTGACTTCAGCATTTTCAGCTTTGAAATGGCCAACTCCAGTTCATTAAGTGTAATTGGCACCTCTAGCGCCTTTGATGTTATTTCTTTCTGACTTCTAAATTGTGTCTTTTCTTGAATTTCGTGTTTTTTCTCTGAACTTATTTCAATGTCGTTATCTAAAGCAAAAGTGTCAGCAAATAGGTTGGCTGCCTCTTTTCCTGTGACCATGTTTCCATCTTTCTGCAGCGTGATCTTTGAGTTCCACCCTGTGTCTTCATCATTAATTTGTTTCACAAGCTTCCATAACTTTCTTGTGTCTTTTCAAAGTTCAGCGACCTTGTTTTCTCCTGCCAGCTTTCCCTTCTAACCTGCAGCTTTGCCCTTACAAATTTTGCTTTTGCATGCTGGTAGTTATTGTGATGTTCTTGGTTTGGCCTGGTCTCTGCTATCTTTCTGGATGTTTCTACTTCGTTATGTAAATTTTCTAGCTCATTACTCCAGTATGGCTTATAATGCTTACGGGCACCTCTTGGTATTGATTCTCCTGCTGCCTTTAGTACGCATTTGTTTAATTCTTTAACTACTTTGTTTATATCCTGGTCTACGCTGAGATTTCCAAGCAGTATACTGGTACGGTGTTTGAACATTGTCCAGTCAGCCTTCTTGTAGTTCCACCTTGGCAGCGTACTAGTTTCTCTGACCTTCTCATTTTCTACATTCAGGAAGACCGGTCGATGGTCACTGCCTCCCAGTTGATTTCCAACAACTCGTTTAATGTTCCATTCCAGATCTGGAGAGTGAAATGCTAGGTCTGGGGTAGTAGTGGTGTGCCACGACCTCGAGTAGAATGTGGGTGGATCAGTTGGCCTATTAATAAGAACAAATCTGTTCTCATCCTGCCACTCCTCCAGTTTCTTTCCTCTCTGGTCTATATGGTCATATCCCCAGCTTTGTGAGTGGCTGTTAAAATCTCCACATAGAATCATCTTTTCTTCCACTGAGATTGTGTCTAAAGCCTGGGGACGATCATTTGGGCAGTAATAATTGATCAGGTAGAAGTCTGCATTTCCAGTTTGTAGTTTCAGAATCTGATATTCTGCTCCATCCATAAATACTTTAGTCTGGCTAGCAGTGATATTGTTCCTCACAAGAGTCAATATTCCACCCTTTTTCCTGCCTTTCCGGTCTGATCGGAAGCACTGATAACCTCTGATTTTTAAGACTGTGTCTTCAGTGAGGTGGGTTTCCTGTAGACAGCATATATGAATCTGTTCCTCATTTAGAATATTTTCTAACTCTAGCTTTTTATTTGTAATCCCCTCTGCATTCCAGTGCATTAATTTGACTCCTTTCTTAGTTCGGCCAGATGCTCTATTCTCACGTCCCCTGGCTCCACAGGACATTTGAGAAGGACCTCCAGTAATTTGGGTTGGGCCTCTTCGAGGCAGAGGGCCCGGCACTGCTCCTGCCTGAGAGTCCATCACAGGGCGAGCACCATAACGTTTTGCTGATATAGACATATTTCCATGGCGTGTATGCGTGGCATCCTGATTGCTGTGGTGCGCCTCTTGGCTGGTTGCCTCCGACTTCAGCACCTTGTTTTACTAGGGTAGACTGTGATCATACTCGAGGAGAGAAGGCTCATCCATTCGTCTTTCGCCTTTACCTCGTTTGTTGTCCCATCCAGTTTCCCGCTGGGGGTTGAGACCCCAACCTTCAACTGGATTGCTGGGAAGAACAGGGTCCACCACGTGAAGGTGAGGTAGGCTTGAGCAAGAGAGGCTAATAGACATTAAGAATCTTGTATTGCGCATCATTGCCCCATTAGGACCCCGTTCTTCGGACTCAGACATGAGTTAGAAAAAGAACAGAGCACACATGGGTTACACCCATGTGCCATAATGTTGATTGTTGTTCAAAACCTCAAACTTTTACTTAATTTGTTAGAGAGTAGTGGGTCTATTTTTTTTAATTCCGAAAATGAGGCACTAAAACATACATAGGAAATGTACCTTACATAAAAACACTGAATACTTTTTGCTGCAGTAAAAATCATATTATTCAATTACAAAGATAAAATATTAACACATCCCATCCCACTCTCCCCACGTACACAGCTGAACGTTCAATAAACAAGGCTCTTACTTTCAAAGTCATCGCTGTAAGGAAGAGGAAAAGGTTTAGAATCAGGTGGTGGTGGGTAAGATCCTTTCACTCCTCCAGATAATGTGGTCAATGTGTATATCTGATCCAATCCGAGGCTGAGCTGCACTGAACCATTAACAACCTGTAGTGGAAATGAGAAGACAAAAACAATACAATATACAGTCTGATGCTACATACTGCAAAGGGGTGTGTGCATAATATAATACCACAATATAGACTTCTTCTTCTCTTCTACCTTGTACCTCATCGAAGTGTCAGGGGAGATGTAACATTTACTGATGAGCTCTGTCAAACAGCACCATTAAGATTGATGTTTATTTCTGTAAGGCTGTTCTTAATGCCATCACTCCATCTTTTCAGAGATTTTCAACTCGCTCTATACCCGTTGTATCATTTTAGTGTGGCTCGTTGTAGCAAATAGTACAAGGGCATTCTTGTCTGGTGTCAAAACCACTTCATTTGTTGTTATTTGATGATCTGTAAGACTGGCTTTATTCCTAGCATTCTTCTGATTTTGTATTCTGTCTTTCCCTGAAACTCCTGCAGCTCTTCTAAGGCATTTCATCTCTGTTTTCACAATTTTACGTTCATTGGAGGATGTAAGTGTCCATGTTTTGCACTCATAGCATAGTGTTGGACAAAAAAATAGTTCTGAGAAGATTCACTTTGGTGAATATAGAATATAGTGAATATAGACTGACGGCTAATAATACAAAGGAGTGCGAACTGGTAGCCTTTCACTTATTTTTGTCATGCATAAAGCTGCAGATGACCATCTCTTCAAACAAACAAAAAATTCCCAGAAAAGTTAAACTTATTTTGCGCTGGATACACGATGAAACTTACTTTGCGCTGGTTGCAAGAGACTATGTTGATCTTAGGGCATAATTCGTTCAGTACCAAGCAAGACAAGAAATCCGTTAAAAAATACAACCAGATTTCCTTTTAACAGGATATTTCTGTGGGATAATCTAAGATTATAATCCTACACTCTGCCTCTGGTCAGAAACACTCACCCACTGAAGCCCTTCTGTGTATTCCTAAATGTGTCTGTTCAAGTTGGTTATTAAACACACATGTTTATCGTTATATAGAATAAAGAAATAATCTTAGTCTATCTTTCCTGGAAATGTAAATATTCTTAAGCTACTTTCCATTTTTTTAAATCTGAGGTTGCTTTTGTCTCATTAATTTTCAGTATCTGATTACCACCCTTGAACATCTTCATTCGTATGCCATGAGAAGTGTGGATGAGTTGCTGTGCGTGAATATGTGTGTGTGTACATGTGTACAGTGTGTACTAAACATATCCACTGCCACAATCCATCCTTAAAAAAACTGAAGTCAAGAAAGGTTACCGCAATATTTTGATCTAAAAACTTGTCAACCATAGAAAAAGAACAGTTGTTGCCTTATATTTTATTATCAAAGTTTCTGGTTATCACTGTTTTTTTTTTTTTTTTTTAATGTTGATATTTGGATAGTTTTTTTTTTCCCTTTATTGTTGCATACAAACACGTTTTATTTTTCTATTTTGCGAACTCAAGGGCGAGATTATACAGTAATTTTACAATAGCCTCATAAGACTGCAAATTGCTGAGCTTCCCAGTTTGGAGCCGTGGACCACAGTTTGCCCACCACCCCTGATTTATACCATTAAACTGCAACTCTGAATTAAAAAATTAACAGTTAACAAACCTGCACTTGTCCTTTATTAATAAAAGTTTCACTTGGAGTCCCACCAAAATTCAGCTGAGTGAACCAAACATTCAGTGCTGTAATGTTGGCCTGAACATAAAAAAATAGTTATGAAGTTACAAAAATCATTAGTAAGTAAAAGTAATGGACCTTTTTACGCCAGTGAGGCATCATGCATATTCTGTACAGACCAATCGGCACTTGGTGGGTGTAAACAAATCATCACTTCCACATACTTCATCTTCTAGAGTTTTAATAATGTCATTTAATCTAGAATTCCACACACAAATATAATTAAATTGTTTTTTTTTAATGTTTTATGTTATAAATTTACACAATGAAGATACAAACAGTTAAATTGCACAAATTTCTTCATCATTATCATGTAGTAGGCCCTTTGCCGAACGTCGCTCTCATCACAGTGTGCCTGAAAGACACTCGGTCTCTGGCCAGCTCTTCCACCTTGTGCACTTCCATATTCAAGGAGTCACTTAGATACTGCATCCACCTTTGTGTTGGTCGGCCCCTGCCCCTCTTGCCTCGTACTATGCCTTCTGCTATTATTTTCTCCAATCTGTCAAGGTGCTTGATATGACAAAAATATTTCAGCTTCACAGACAAGATGCTGTTTATTAGCCAATCCTCCTTGATATTCAGACCTTTTAAAATATCAGTATCTCTTCTCTTCTTTGTCCACGGTATACTGAGAATTTTTCTGTAGCATTTTAGCTCAAAAGTGCCTGCTTTCTTTCTTCACTGGGTATATGACTAAGGAGTAAATGTTAGTTTATGATGCACTATTTGTTAATACAGTTTTGAATCATCGTCAATCAGCAGGTCCTTACAAAAACAATGCTCTCATCACGGCACACCTGAAAGTCTCTTTAGACAACTCTCCAGCCGTATGTGCTTTCAAAGCCATTGCGTCTTCAATGTCACATAACTTTTGCAGATGTCTGCTCTACTTCATTTTCCAGAAAATGTACCCTTCAGCACAATTCTCCCCAGGTCGTCATGACAATGAACTTCATTAAAATAGCACAGCCATGGGGACACATTTGAATATCATTTAAATAATTAAACTTTTATCTATAATTAGTTGAAAATTTAAAGTGATGTTTTTCCATTGTGAATTTAAATTAGGGGAAAAAAAACAATATATTACAAAATTTATGCCTGGCATATTTTACTTGAAAGAATTCATTTTAGTGCTTTGTTATATGCTGAGATGTGTGCTTAAGTATGTACCTGACAAGATACAATGAAATATGCAAAGGAGTAAATTATGATGCCTATTTTTGTGTGATATCACTATTCAAATTAAATTTAAACTCAAGAGAAAAATAACATAAACTACATCTATAGACAACAGATCAAATGATTCAGACATGTGTTAAGACCACCACCAGACAGTGCACCGCAGAGAGTCTCCTGCACTTAAATACAACAAAAGCAGAGCTAAAGGTCAACAGGCAATGGATAGATGGCACATCCAAGGTCATGAATACCAGCATCAATGTAGCACACACCAAGGCTCCTATCTGATGCCTCTTCAAACCTTGATGCCGAAATGCAGAAAAGGATTAGAGAAGAATAAAAAACGCTCTTTCATCATTTAGGAGTTAACGCATCCTTAGGTCTTGATTTAGCAAGTGAAAATGGTGCTTATACGGCTATAACACAGTGAAACAAGCCAAATAATTTATAAGATACTTCTATGTTCTACGGCAGAAATGAAAGCAGTTAAGGAATAAACGGGGGCATACTTACAAAGTCACCTTTAAGAGCAATGGTGACATCCTGGGGTGTCACTGTGTATGGTGGCAAAGATGGTCGAATGCAGAGTGAGTGGTCGTGAGTCTAAAACAAGTCAGAGTACATTAGGATTAAGGGTAAGTTATAATTGGGATTTACAACAGAATATGTCCATGTTTAAAAATGCTTGGAAATTAGATTTTCATAACTGAACACTGAAAAATGTAATCACGTTCAAACATTAACAAAGCCTTGTATCGTCTGAGTAACTGTGGCACTGTGTTATTTACAACACCCTCCAAAGATTATGGTCTGGGTTCAAACTCTGGCTAAGGCAGAATTTTTTTTTCAAACCACCCGCTCTAGGTGAGCCCAGTCTCATAAAAGTATGTACCAGACAATTTTCAGTAATGAGGAAATAAACTAGCCACCTCGTCTTGTGTGCCATGGTCCAGGATGCGTGAAGACCTAACTCTTTACTCTACAACAGTAGTAACTGCTTGGAGGCTACCTTTATTACATCATGTGTTATGCAGAACTTCTTCTTCTTCTTCTTCGCTTTCACCAGCTGGACACTCTGGCGGAAAGTTCTGGTTGCTCGTCCACTACTGAACTGCAGTCCTGCTCCAGAACCTGAGTGTTGCGTGTGCATCAGTTTTACAGATCTCATTCTCTTGAATACAGACTGTTGGTTCCTTGCCTGTCCGGCAGATGCACTCCGACTTCAAAGGAAGCTACCCAATTAGTCGACTCTTACGACATGCTTTTGGGGAGGCAGTGGGTCTATTCTTGTTCTCCCTACAATGGGGCTCCGGAACCCACACGGGCATTATGCAGAACTGAACTGCTGATCATGTCCGCTTCACTAATCCTTGCACTTTTCTTTACATCTTGTTCTGTTTTTGTTCCTAATTTGCCCATCCATTTAACCCTTTTGTCCTAAAATTATGAAAATTATGGCGAAAAAAAGAAAAACCTGAGAATTCCCCCCCTCCTCCCCAAAAAATCTGGTAAACGTAACGCAAATCTTCCTAAACAGAGTTAGCCCCGCCTATATACACAGTAGGTCACTTTTGATTGGTAGTTCCTGAGCCTAGTCACCTTTGCATAAGGTTAGGGGGTGTTCTGCGATACGTTGATATCACGTGTTGCATATTTCAAGATGGCAGCACTTTTAACGCTCCAAAAACATGGAGCACTGGCCCTAACACAACCCCCTATGAGAGTGCTGCAACCTAATTCACAGGTATTCTCTTACTTGGAATGAAAACGTAAATGGAAGACAACACAGAAAGCAAACAATAGAGCCGGACACACCCGTAACCTTTAAGCTACCGAAATTCGTTCCCCCGCAAGCTATTTTTAGTAAATATAATAATATCTGGCCCTCCTAACCATTGGGCAGGCACAGACAGAACCAATGCTGTTAACTAGGCTTTTCATGGCCTGACCAAATCATCAATGCCAATTTAGTGGCTTCTCTGGGATCTGAAATAGTCAGCAATGCCTGAAAGATGTGGTTTTAAAGAAGAATGCTTAAAATTTCCTGGAAAAACAGTATAGTATGCCACATGTTTTAAAGAGGTAAGCAATATTTTGGAGCCAGAGGGTTATGATGCACAGTCACTGACTATTTCGGAGCCAGAGGGTTATGATGCACAGTCACTGACTATTTCGGAGCCAGAGGGTTATGATACACAGTCACTGACTATTTCAGAGCCAGAGGGTTATGATGCACAGTCACTGACTATTTCAGAGCCAGAGGGTTATGATGCACAGTCACTGACTATTTCAGAGCCAGAAGGTTATGATGCACAGTCACTGACTATTTCAGAGCCAGAGGGTTATGATGCACAGTCACTGACTATTTCGGAGCCAGAAGGTTATGATGCACAGTCACTGACTATTTCAGAGCCAGAGGGTTATGATGCACAGTCACTGACTCACAAAGAGCATAGAGCAAACTGACTAAAATCTTTTCTCATCTTCCCACACAACATCCTGAAAACAGACATTCTGGATGCTGCAGAACTGCTTGTGAGTTACATAAATTTTCCTTGATGGAGGTAGATGGCCAGCACCAACATCTTGCACACCCACCTTACACAGAGTTTTTATGGATTTGCTCAGAATGTAAAATTCTGCAAAGCACAATGCAGTCATCTCATCAACAGACATTGATTTCTTCAATTCCAGTAGAAGTGAATAACTTGATACATTGGGAATTCTAAACTAACCAACTAATCAACACAAAAAGTATTTTCTAGTACTCTCATCCTATCATTTTATTCTGTGTCTTCAGATTTGTCAAAATGTTCTCCAACAACTATATTACAGTGCACTGAATGTTGAATTAAGAATCAACTCCATAGCACTCAGGTCACTCCCATAAGTGTTCCATTCCCATCTTCAGCAGCAAGTGAAGAGTTCCAATTCTGATGGTACCAGTAACTGACTGTATATCTGTCTCACTTTTACCTTGAGTTTTGAGCGTCGGCCAGATCCCCTGTTAACAACATATTAGCAAGTGATAACTGCTTTGTCCTGTCACAATAACAGTCTTTGCAAATTTGTCTTCTGAAGAACAAGACTGATCGCTCATGGGATTCTCATAACCATAATAAAATGTAGGCAAAGCAATTAAACATTAAATTTGTTCACAACACATTATAAGCAAGTTTGATCGACTACACAATCTCATTGGGCAACCAGACATGTCAAGTGAATGCTTACCATGGTTTCAATAATAATTGTAAGATCACTGCGAGTAGGGCTGTACAGACCAACATACGAACCACCATTTGGCAGTTTGCCAACACCACTGCCATGCTGAAGATATTTCCATCCAACTGAAGTAAACTGGGTTGTATGTGCTGAGTACAACAGGGGAAAATTTTTTAGGAAGATTAGTCAGAAATTATTAAATTAGCAGCAAATTTTGAGTAGCTATGTATTAACCACTAGAGGCTCATTTATTATGAAGAGCTTGCAATAAATCTATAATCTGTACTGCCTGACTGAAAATATTCCAGTGAAATGTGACTAAAAAGCTTAACGAAATGGAGAAGCAGAAAAACGTGCCCAAACAAAAAAACCAACATAAACAAAGTTTCGGCCAGCAGCCTTTGTCAAACATGAAGATGCATGTTTAGTTGTTCTTTATATTTTATTCATCATCATTATTGTCCTGTGTGCCATTATACGTCACATAGAGCTAGCAGTTTATACCTCCCTTCTGTTCTAACATGGGCAGAATTCAGTCCAGACCCTTTAGGTTCTCTCATCAATGTTTTATTTTACAAGTCAAAGTTAAATACCTCAAAGCATCTATACGTATCACCGTCATCATCAAGCATTATATATGCGACGAAGGTTGACTGTATTTTGTCATGCTTCTTCACAGTGCACTTAACTAGGCTTCTTCCAATCAACCTCTTGATGCTGTCCACCCACATATAACACTGTCTTTTTGCATTTTTATTATTCCTTCTTCCTCCCAACACCGCCTTTCTACTGTCTCTCTACTTCAAAGTACTCCTTTTTCGTCTTATTGTTTCTTTGTTTTGTATTTGCACTTAAAATGGCAGTGGGCATCTTGTGTTCTGGTAAACAGCTAGGCTTCAAATTTTAACCCAACACACTAAATTCAACAAACAATTAATTGTTGTCTTTCATGACATGCTTTCTAAAGGGCTGCATTTGAACAGACAAACTTTGATCTCATTCAGCAATAGTTTCTACAGTACAACATTTTTTAAGTCTCATTTTTATCTCATTTAGCAACATCCAGGGTTTTTGAAATTATCACGCTTGGATCTTCAATTCAGTAATATTTTCTTCATTTCAAAGTAATTTAACTGATAGAATTAGATCTAATTTCCTAATAATTTCTTCAGTCCCACTGTTTACAACATTTAATTTGCTTGCACCTCTTACCATGAGATGTCTCTTACTTGTCCAAAATAAATACTTGTAAAGTTTAAATGGTAACCACTGATACCACGATCACATGTTATATATGATCAGCTGACAGCTATGTCAGGCTACTTTGATCACACCCCCCTGTGATCTTAACTCTGGAAACTCGCAACCATGCTAAGATTGTTACTTTTGAGATTAACATAGTTAGTCCATTCATTTCTGTATGTTTTTTTAACAAAAACAATTTTTAGTGCTAAGAGTAAACTGTTCACACATTTTTTTTTTAGTAAGCTTCAATGCTGATGACGCGTTAGGCAGATATTTTGATAATGGTAGCCGATCGTCAAAGCTGGCAAGGTGGCACATTTAGGAGAATATTTCTGATGATATAACAGACTTTCCTCCTTTTTTTTTTAAATCAGAAAGTGAAGGTAAAGATATTTATGAACAGTTTGGTGAGAAATGACTTTGTGATAATTCTTAAACACCGTCAAAACTGAAAGAACCGTGTTTCGCTTTTCAGCAGAGTCAGAGGTAAGAATGTTATGTTACATTAGTTAACACGACTTTTTCGTATTGGCTTCAGTTATGTATTGTTTGATGCATCTGCTAGTGTAGACTGTGAACATTGGGGCTCTGGTTTAGAGTTTAGTGAAAATCGTCACAGTGCAATCCTCAACATTTACCGGGATGCGATTCCCCACGCATGTTTTGGGAAAACATCATTTTCGTGGTTTTCTGAGGTTGACACTTCAGTCATTCGGTATCAGAAATTTTTTATGCAAAATGGCAACAAAGCCACTGAATTTGCAGAATTTTATTTCACAGTTACGCAGAGTTCTCATAAATGATTATATCAGCTAGAAAAAAAATTGGTGTCAGGATATTTTTTTGGCTCCATTTTTGCACTAATCTACAGCCACCTAATGATGATGTACAACAAGATTACACAATGTGTTTATTCTTTAAATTCGTTTTCCATTAAATTTGGTGCCAAAAATGCAAAATATTATCGGTTATGTTAAACAGTTGTGAAGCTATGGAATTTTTGTAGTCTACATTGCTGTCAGAAAAAAAATATTTGATTTTTCAGTTGCCTTTCTTTTTGCACCTACAGCCACTAGATGATGAAGTAAAAGAAGAAAAAACAATTTCTTTTTCTTAAAATTTGTTCCCCATTAAATTTGGTGCAAATAAATGCAAAGTATTATGAGTTTATTCTAAATAGGTGTGAAGCTATGGCATTTTTTAGTACACAACATATCTGGAAAAGTGCAAGGATTAAGGGGCTTGGTAGTCAGTGGGTTAACATCACACCGTATCTCTAACCACATGAATCTTACTTAATTTATTTCTTTTCTTTTTCATATTTCAGTGCCACACCTACTATCATTTTTTTAAGCCTGCACATGGTTAAATATCTTAATTCATTCATGTGTCCTAAACATTTCATAATATTTTAATTGACATAAATAATGCACCTGAGACCCAAATAGGACTGTTGACAGCATAATTCCCACTCCATGGTTCAATAGCCGTCATCAAACCATCTCTGAAGAAAGGAAGACTTGGGTAGTAGCTCGCAATCAGGTTCCATGAGATTGTCCTAAAATTAAAATGATGAATGATCCATGAGATTGTCCTAAAATTAAAAAGATGAATGTTACTTTGACTTCTTTATTTCAATATTTGTGATGGTTCCATGAGATTGTCCTAAAATTAAAATGATGAATGTTACTTTGACTTCTTTATTTCAATATTTGTGATGGTTCCATGAGATTGTCCTAAAACTAAAATGATGAATCTTACTTTGACTTCTTTATTTCAATATTTGTGATGGTTCCATGAGATTGTCCTAAAATTAAAATGATGAATGTTACTTTGCCTTCTTTTTTTCAATATTTATGATGGTTTTTTTGGGAGAGGTCTTTTTTTTTAATGGAAAAGGTGAAGCGGAATGTTAAGAAAGCAGGGATGAGTAAAATTAACTCGCCTGAACCTACTGTGAAATCTAACTTTTGAAACTGAAGTATTGTTACTCAGGATATCTAAGCACCAAAAAGGATTTGTGACTATTAGAGTGAGGTTGGTTTAAAGATATTTCTGCTGGCCTGGTACAAACAAGAACTATATAAATCCTACCTTGATATACACAAGTGAATCATGGACAGTTAGAAAATTAGTGAAAACATATCTGGAAGCAGTGGAGGTGTGGTTTTATAGAACAATAGTGAAGATACCCTGGATAGATAGAAAGAGTAATGAAGATGAAAGAACTGACTCAAAAAGAGAACTGATTGCCAACATTAGAAGGAGAGAATCTACATTCTTTGGTCCTGTAATGAGAATAAAACTGGAGTACATCATGATGGTGGGAAAGTTGGAGAGGAAAAGAGGCAGAAGTAGACTTAGAGAGAAGACGCTGGACAGTCTGGAATCATGGCATGGAAGATCATTTGTTTGAGAACTGGCTGGAAGTAAATGAGACAGAATATTATGGGCAGACATGACTACCAATGACACACAACAAGGACTTTCAGAAGAAGAAGTAACAGCAAAACAATCTTCGAAGGGGCAACGTTATAGTGCTTTCCTTCTTTAATTAAAGCAGAGAAACTATAGGACATGCAGAATTGGCACTGGAACCACATCATCAGAGTGGTGTTTTCAGAATATTAAGCACTCACTGACTGGCTGGGATAATACTAAGTTAATAATGTTTCTTTAATCTATTTGCAGAAAACAAGCTGTGCAAATACTCTAATGAAATTCACACAGCATCAGATGAAATGAGTCACTGTAAAAAAAGAATTATCAAACTGCTTTATATATAACAAATTGCCAGTATAGCTAAGCTCTCAAATTCACAGTTTCTGAGTTTTTACAAAAATTAAGTAAGTAGTTGACATAAACATAATGTTGTATTTTTATGTTTGCTTCGTAAGAATATCCAAATACATGCAGACTTTCAGTACCTTGTTTTACGATGATGAATAAAGTGCTTCTTCTTCTTCTGCCTTTCTATCCCCCAATAGAGGATAGGCCCTCAACCAACTCACGCCAAGTCATTCTATCCTTTGCCATTGCATGGAGCTCTCCCCATGTCCTCCCTATCTTTCTAACTTCATTCTCCAGCTCTCTTCTCTATGTGTTTTTTGGCCTTCCTTTATTTCAATGCCCCTGTGGTTCCAATGCAAAGACATTCTAGTTATGCTGTTTTTTTGTTTTCTCAGTGTGTGTCCTATCCAACGCTAGTGTCTTTTCCTCACCTCTTGATCCACTGGAGCCTCTTTAGTTCTCTCCCAAAGCTCTACATTAGTTATTCTATCATACCATTTAATTCCCTCTATTCTGCGCATGCACCAGTTAATGAATGTCTGTAATTTTTTAGTAATTGTCTTAGTTGTTCTCCATGTTTCTGCCCCACACAACAGCACTGGTTTGACATTAGAATTAAAAATTTTTAGTTTAGTATTTCTTTTAATTTCTTTTGACCTCCACAAATTCCCTAGTGCTATGAAAGCCCCTCTTGCCTTTTGTATTCTTATTTTAATATCTCTATCAGTTCCTCCATCTTTATCTTCATTACTGCCCACATAGGTGTACAACTCCATGTCTTGGAGTGGGGTGCCATTAAGAGAAACCACATTACTATTTACCTGATTTATTCTCATTATCTTTGTCTTTCCTTTATGGATTTTCAGACCAAGCTGCTGTGATCTCGCATCAAGTATATTTAATTTATCTTGCATCTGATTCCGTGAATGGGACAGAAGAGCAATATCATCAGCGACGTCCAGATCATAAAGCTGTTTTGTAGGGGTCCACTGAATTCCATTCTTGGTGTTAGCAGTTACTGTTTTCATAATCCAGTCTATAGCCAGTAAAAATAAGAGAGGCGACAAAAGACATCCCTGTTGCACACCTGTTTTTATTTCAAATGCATCTGTTAGCTTTCCCTCATGAAGAACTCGACATTTCATGTCTTTATATGTTGCCTTTACTAAGTTGATAATTTTCTGTTGGATTCCATAGTGTCCCATCAATTTCCAGAGAGATTCCCTATCAATGCTGTCAAATGCTTTTTCATAGTCTATAAATCCAATGTAAAGTGGTGAGTTCAGTTCAATGCTTTGCTCTATTATAATACGTAATGTGGCTATCTGGTCAGTTCGGGATCTGTTTGACCGAAAACCTGCCTGCTCATCTCTTAGCTTTTTATCAATAGCATCTTTTAATCTTTCCAAAATAATTCTACTTAATATTTTTCCAGGAACTGACAGCAACATAATTCCTCTATAGTTTTCATACTCCTGTAGATCACCTTTTTTGGGCAGTTTCACAAGATATCCTTCTCTCCAGTCTGCTGGTATTTCTTCGGTCTCCCAGACTTTACTGAATAATCTATGTAGCAATTCTGTTGATGTGTTTATGTTGGCCCTGATGGCTTCAGCTGGGATACCATCTGGGCCTGCCGCCTTTCCTTCCTTGAGAAGAGTGATAGCTTTTCTAATTTCCTCTTTGGATGGTATCTCACAGTTGATATCCAGTTCCATTTCTAAAGGCTGGATATCTGGGGGAACCTCTGGGCCTGGTCTATTTAGAAGCATTTCAAAATATTCCACCCATCTGTCCATTTGATCTTTAGTGTTAGTAAGTACTTTTCCTTGACCATTTTTGATTGATTCAGTTGGCTGACTATATTAACCTACTAATTTTCTTGTCCTACTGTAAAGTTCTCTGAGGTTTCCTTTTGCTGCTGCTGTTTCCGCTTCTTGTGCTAGATCATTTAGATATTTCACTTTATCTGCCCTTATATGCCTCCTAACTTCCTTATTGGCTTCTGTGTATTTCTCCTGAGCTCTAGCTTTAGCAGCTCTAGTTTTGCTACTGTTTAAGTCTGCCTTTTTACTTTTCCTTCTTCAATCAGATTAATGGTTTCTGGTGTTATCCACACTTTGTGTTTCCTTTCTTTCTTGCCAAGAACTTATATGCAAGATTCATTCAGATTCCTTTGATCTGGTCCTAGCAGGTCCTGACATTTTCAGCTAACTGCTGCAACACCTGGTACTTGTTAGAGACTGTAACTGAGAACTGTTTCTTAACTTCTTTATCCCTGAGATGCTACTGGTAAAGTAACATTAATTATTTCATAGAAGTGATACAGATTTTAAGTATCTCTTGTTCAAGTCTTTAGATAAAATGTTCATAGAAAGTCTCAACAATAAATAAAATGTCAAAGGAGCAGTGACTTTTTGTCACCTATATCTAAACAAAAGTTAAACAGCAAATATCCATAACATATTTCTAACAACACTCTACTATTAGTGCCAAACCTGAGTGCTGCTATCTAAATTTCAAAAGACGATACAAATAGATATACCACTTAGTACCACTTACGCTGTCATAAGACCATTCACATAGTTTTGATTTAGTATCTGCAATTATCATAGACAATGTTAATTTCAAAATGTATACAATATATCTGTACATATAAATAAAACATGGTCATCTTCAAGATAAAGGGAATTGAAATTATTAATTAAAAAACATCATAACAGGATTGGCACGTGAACAAATTAGTCTGCCAAGGCATTGTTGTAAAGATCAAATTCAGCAAATTCATTGATTAACAAAATATCAGCTCTAAGGCTGAAAAATAAGAGCAGTTGCTGCTATCTGATTTAGACATAGGTTTTCCTTGTTTGCCAAATTACCAGGTTTGACCTGATTATGAAGAATGTCCATATTTATAAATTTGTATCCTTACTGATGTTGATGGTAGAGCTGTATCGAATATTCACTTCGTATTTGCTTGCAGTCGAATACGAATATTGGTTACGTTACACCTGCTTCTGCATACATGCAGCTGCTGCAGCCACTGCGAATTACTTGTAACAATACTTCTTTCATTCCTGGTTATTAGTTGCCACAGACTGACTGAAGGATGCAAAACATAAAATGTTTTAAAATGTTTACTATTCTGTACTAAATTTTGTGAAGTAAAAGTTCAGCATACATTTGACATTATGAATGTTTCGTTTTTTTAAGATCCATGTTATACACTATACACTATTCGTATTAGGCAGAATAGTTGGTCCTGTTGTTCGTATTTAGCGGAATAGTGATAATCACCTATTCAGTACAGCTCTAGTTGATAGGGATCACTTATTCGTGAAAAGTATGAATCTGTCTAGAAATGCTATATTTAATATTTGTTCCTATATAAATTTGATCATTCAAATATGACGAGTAGTTAACATGTAATTACTTTTTTAAAGCTTAATGAGAAATGTCAAAATTGATCAGACTTGTGACAGTTATGATCTGCTCCTAACTGGTGGTAACCCTATTATAGAACTTTGCTATGCAGATGACACAGTCGCCCTTTCAAAATGTTTAAACGGAATAGAACATATAATCATGTCTGTTCAAAATCAAAAACACAGTAAAGATCAAAAATTGTTCCTGAATTTAAAGAAAACAAAAATAATGTTCATACAAAACTGGCAGTCACACAAAAATAACAATAAATGATGAGAAAATTGGATATGACAAAAACTTTGAATATCTATGCTCCATCATAAACAGCAATGGAGATTGTTCAAAAGAAGTCAAAAGGAGGATGGCCACAGCAATGCAAATCTTAAACAGAATTAAAAGTCAAGGTCACAATTTTGAGGGCATGCAATTTCCCGTTGTAACACATGGATCCTTGGGACTGAAAGAGTTAATAACAACATGGCAAATCTCAGATATACCATTTAACCTTCAAAGAAGTTATAATAAGGGTGCCTGCCCTGGCTATACCATGTAGGTGTCAATTAGTCTTGGGTGGGAAATAGGGTAGGTTTGAAGGTTTTCTTATTATTATAGTCCATAGAGTAGTGCATTGGTCTCTACAGTCTTCTGTCTAATTTACTGACAATCCTTCCTGAAATATATCTTCCTCCACACTAAGACCCCAACTGCCTATTTGCTTCTCTCTTGGCCTCTTACTTCACCAAATAAATAATTAAAATAACATATACATCTTTTTATATATCATGTAGTAGAAGAAAATTCTTAGAACTTTTCAGTAAAGCATTTGTTTAAAACACCCACCCTTGCCCAGCACCCAGCTCCAACTTCATCATTGAAGGTACTGAAATCTTCTGAAGCCCACAGTGCATGTCCTGAGGTCTGAGCTGAAGTGGGTGAGTTAGTGCCAGGGTAGTGAACTCTTAAGAAAGAGAAACATATGAAACTTATGTGGTCAACATTTCCCTAATTTTTCAAAAGAGAATTAAATTTAATATATAAATTTATTTAAAAAAATAAAGGACAATTTTCTACACACTGAGGTGAATCAGATTTACAAGTCTAGCCTCTTTTTTGTACATATTGCAACTTGACGGGTAATCTGATCAATGTCACATTGACGTCTTTTACTTCCCTTCTTAGGTGTAAGAGTCTTGGCTGCATCAGGTCTTTCAAAATTAATTTTCTGGATTTTCATCTGGATTTCTTTAGTTCTAATTGCAGAGCTGTCAGTGATAAGCATGGCGAACGATTTCTCCAGCACACTGCTGCTGTGGAGACTAGGTATCAAGACAACTGGTGCTCTTCAATGTTTGCTGATAACTGTAGGACTGTGACAAGAGACACCTCATCGACTGACTACAAGAAGCAAGCAAAGAAGTTCAAATAATAAAGGAATGGGTTCAGCTGCACCTTTGAAAACATTATATGAGAACTTTACACAATATTTATTTTTTCAATAATGTTGTTGAAATATCAAATAACTGAATATGTAACCACAATTGCTTAAAGCTTAAGTATACAGATTAGCTGTTCACCCTACACAATTTAACAAGTATACATTATTTGTATCACTGTAGTGTAAATACATCATTTAAAAAAAAAACATTTGTGAATTTCTTTATGATATTTGAAATCCACATGTCAAAATCAATAAGGAATGGTGTATTTAAATTATGATACAGGAAATATTTGAGAATGTTTTGACCAGTGTAATCTCTACCAGCAGAAGAGTTCAGAGAAAACTCAGTCATAAACTCCAAAAAAAAAGAAATACTAGTCAAAAGATGATGTCAACCTTCTAAGTCTCAATGAAGCAGCACAGCTTGTTGTAGACCTATGCACATGTAGACTTCATTATAAGATCTCTCCTTATTATTGACAGTCTCCAAGTGTGATATTACCAAACACAACTTTCTATATCCATATAGGATTTACCAAGACCTCTAGGTTCATAACGTGATATGCCAGTAAGCATAGGCAGTCCTGGTTTGCTATCTCACATGATCAATAGAATCACAAATCAAATCAGTACTCTTGCTCCACCCCATCCATGTGGCCAAGTCTCTCTCTCTCTTTCTCTCTCTCTTGCTCTGGCTGTGTGAGTGTCTGTGTGCCAATGCCTATTATTTTATAAAATAATACAATACAATATACTATAATGCACTACAATACAATATAGTGTAATTATTGTAATATAGAACAGAAAATCATTTAATATATAATATAATATAATATAATATAATATAATATAATATAATATAATATAATATAATATAATATAATATAATATAATATAATATAATATAATATAATATAATATAATATAATATAATATAATATAGTATAGTATAATTTAATATAGTATAGTATAGTATAGTATAGTATAGTATAGTATAGTATAGTATAGTATAGTATAGTATAGTATAGTATAGTATAGTATAGTATAGTATAGTATAGTATAGTATAGTATAGTATAGTATAGTATAGTATAATATAATATAATATATACATGCAATATAGCATACCCCACAGCATAGATTATTGCAGACAGTTGTGCATCCTTTTGAATGTCATTGACAATATCCCATCCACCATCTGCAGCTACAATCAAAGTATTCTGAAATCCTCTTTTATCAAGAGTGCTCCTTAAGGTCTGTTGAAAGAGAAGTATTAACTGGCAAAATCTATAAACTGTTTCAGGGTCACTGGCTATGCTACTATATTGGACACAGCGGCTTCAACTTTTTAGTAATAATCCCACAAACAAACAATTAAGCTGCTGCTGCTACTGCTTATTCTTCACGTTCTCTGGCTGTAAACTCTTGTCATTTAACTGAAACTCTTGCAATGCAGCTACTCATGTTGATTCACAAGTTCCAATTAAACTTATCTAATACAAGATAATTTCCCTAACAGGTGCTTTATTTATGAGTATTTGCATTTTTATTGTTCATTTTCATCCTTCCTAAGGCAACATATGGATGTGAGTCACGGACTATTTCACAATTATTAAAATAAAGAAAAATGGCTTTTCAACTGTCATGTTGCTAAAACATTCTTAGACAGAAAAATTCTCATGGATAAGGAAAAGGACAAAATATTTGATTAAGGATAATTAAATAAACTTATGAATGAACAAACATTTTTATTTTTAAAGAGTTGGGAATTTGGAATGCAGGCCCATCTAACATTATGCCCTTCTGATCTCAACCCTGGCATAGTTATTAATTCCTACATCATTTCCTAGCTAATAATAAATAAATTTTCAAAGACATCAAAGTCTAAATTACAAACGTTGGGCAATTCTTAGTACAGTAATAAATCTAATAGAGTGCATAGAATATACATCATCAACAACAAAATATGAATTACAAACGCTAGAATAGCTCGACTGGCACCTCCATTTTTTAAACAATAATAACTCTCAGTATAAAAACTAACACATCCAAGGGAAATATAATACTTTGGTCATCCTGAGTTTCAAAATGACTTGGAAATAATAGCTGAAGGTATGGCTCCAGAAAGAGGCATAGGTGTTGAACAGCATGATGCTGGACACAGGATATTAAGGACACTCTGGACAAGAAGGTTCACAAATTTTAAAGTAGAAGATGTTTTATTTGATAATACTGCAATGCTGTTTCATATACATATTTATATTTCTAATTTTTCACTAGTAAGTTTTCAATAAACATAATGTGCTTAGTAGGAAAGGCAATACTTTTATCACGGTTTTAAAAAAATCTTACCTTGATGTAATTTACATCATAGTTTCTTTCATTCCAAATCTGAAAAACAAATATTCAGATTTCACACTTTCAGTCATATAATTGACACACACACAAAAAGTTCCTTCTGTGTTATTTATCATACACCGAACAGATGACCTTCTGGCCTTAGGGGACAGCAAGGGACAACGGCTAAAAAGAGGTGGCTCTTAGATGACACAGGCAGAAGTCACAATCAGAACTGTTTGTGCTAACTGACAAAATAGCGAGCAGTGAAGAATGGGCTACCATCTCGCCCAGCATAACAGACTTGCACAGAGTGATAGTTACCTTGGACCAAGGGTGCCGGGAATGGATAGTTGGTGAAACACAGTCAGCGGTGCAAGAGCTGATCAATGAAAATTCATACCCAAGTGACATCATAAAATATAAAGATGGGTCTGTAGTGAGAGGTAAAAAGAGTGGCTAGGGTTTTAGTGCAAAGGTGAATGGACACTGCTTGAAAAAGGAGAACCTCACATACAATGTCACTACATCCAATATAAGAATGGAGTTGGAGGCAGTAATGGCGGCTTTCTGATGGCTTGAGAACAGCACAGTCTGACATGTTATGATTGTAACAGACTCACAGAGCATGCTTTGGAAAACTGAAAGTGGGTCCTGTTTGCAAAGTGGCTTGCATCTCTTGATAAAATCCAGATCAAGAGCATATCGTGTTCTGTCCAGGACATTCAGGTGTGCGATGTAACGAGCATGGTGATAGACCGGGTGCTGCAGTTCCTCTGGGCGGAAGTGGTGAAGGCTCTATGGGATCAAATTAACAGTGCAAAAGAACAGGTAGGGAATCCATACACTAAAAGACTAATTCAATGGGGATAAGTAGAGGTTCTAAAAGATATTCAACACTGAAGGGGAAACAGAGGTGGACTTTTGATAAAGTTGCAGCCAGTACTATTAGCATGCCAACTCTTCATTGGTTAATGAAGAAGCGGACAGAGCATATATGGGAATGCCCAGCGTGCAGTGATGTCAATTCTTGATTCATTAACTTATTCATTCATGCTTAAACTAGCCAAACTGTTATCGGTAAATTATTTCTTATCAGTTATTTCTTATACACAGAACAGGCAAATGATTAAACCAGCCTAGGTTTTAACAATAAAAAATTAATAATCCTGTCTTTGGTAAACAGAAAGAGCTTGATAGAAACCTGAAGTCATCTTGGTAAGTCACATGACTGTCATGAACTTCCAGCGATAAGAGGAATAGTGTATCCTAGAGAAGACACATGATTTGTGTATTTCAGTGGAATGAATTAAATTTTTTGTATCTTAGAAAAGACATGCAATTTGTGTATTTCAGAGGAATAAATTCAATTTTTTGTATCCTAGAAAAGACATACGATTTGTGTATTTCAGTGGAATGAACTCAACTTTTTGTGCTTCCTTATATGTTAACGTAATTCTGTAGCAATGCTCCTGATGAGATACAGCAAAAAATGCCTGGCAATAAACTGTACAATGTATTTTATTTTGTCCACATTCTGTAAATCCACAATGGGAAAACACTTTTTTTTAAAATACTAGCTATCTTCAAGGAAATATCTTTCTCTAAGCTCTCTCTCTCTTTTGTCTTTTTGTTCACTTTAAGCTTCACATACTGTAAGGCTCAATTATTCCCGCACTGTTTTATAATCATTATGCTAATGTTATATGTAGATACTGATATAGGGATTATATATTGACATTAGGCTATATTTGCCCATTTCCTCCCTCTCCCCTCCCCTCAAAAAAAAAAAAAAACAAAGAAACCCAATTTAGTTATGATTCTTGCCTAACTTGCCAATCCTACCTTTCATTTTGTCCAGTACCCTCTTCCTGCATCATATATGACTAAAAGTTTCTACTATCTGACAGGTTATGAACATTTGTGTGACAGTCCTCAACATACAACAAAATGATTTTGTGTATTCTTGCTTGTAATTGTATCAATATCTATTTGTGACATATGCTGATGAAGGCCTTATAACTACAACATTTATATGTTGTTCATGATTCTGACAATGTCTGCTTAGCTTAGTCATACTTGATGAAAAAAAAAATGTTTAATATAAACACAAATAAAATAAATGTCCAGCTTCTTCCTTTTCTCACCTATGTAACAACAGATAAAAAAGACATTAGAGAGGGCTAGGGTGTGATCCCACATGCTAGTGTTCGCCCTAATGTATCTCACTGATCCATCATCTGGAGTTACCTTTCTTAATGCAGGCTATCCTTGCAATGTCAAACACCACACTATGGACTGAGCTTCACATCCCTCTCTTTTGTACAATATAACACTATCACGTTAAGTGTTCAGAATAGTGAGTGTTCATCAACACTATTATGTTGAAAGATATAAAATTTTGTCAACAAACATTGCGGGGTAGAGGGGGTGGGGAAGACCTCTTGCTCTGTTTCCATCATGTCACAGTGATGGAGACAATTGTGGGTCCCTGTCTTGCAACCACCTTGTTACACTAACAAAGCATGTGAAATGCTATTAGTATATTTCTTAATTAAGTTAAACAATTGGGTAACGCAAGAAGAGAAAAAAGAACAATACCCCAATGTAATCAATCTTCTGGTTGTAGACTTGCTGAGCCCCAAGTACCCATCTGACAACGTAATCAGCCAGGACTGAGGCATTTGTATATGGATTAGATGTTCCTTGTCCAACCCAGCCTGGAAACCCCCATGGCAGACCATACAGTTTAATATTGGGGTTTCTCTGAAATCATTCATTTATTTGTTAGTGAAACAATGAAATCTAAAACATGTTAAACTACTTTCACTAAGTGATATTAAAGTTTACAAACATTATATTTAATGTATATGTGCTGTCCTTTTTCATTCTTTCACCGACTGTAAACTCTGGCAGAAAGCCCTGTTTGTTCGACCACTCCTGGACTTGGGTCTTGTTATAGGACTTGAGTGTTGCATGCACATCCATTTTACAGATCTGGCTTATTTCTGTGCAGACCATTGGTTCTTTGCCTCTCAATCGTGAAAATCGTGAAAAAAAAGCTTGCACATGCAAAGTAAATGCATAAGGCAGCCATCAGATGAAGAGAAGTAGATAGGTCTCGACTAGTTTGAGTCGTTCCTAATCCTAGTGCACAATGTGTGGCTCAGCAACTCTGCATCCCTTGACATCTTTAAATGCAGTTCCTCCTTTCCACTAGCTTGTAGTGAGAAAAATATGATTCTGAGACCTAGAAACAGTCACTGTAATGGAGTGGTTAGTGACTTACTTAACAAGACAATGGACTTATTCAAACCTTAGTATTGTTAGGTTTTTATTTTGCTTAAAAATGTTGGGGTCAAACCCATATGGTAAAATGGGTGGCTAGATTTGTCAGAAACTTCTAGAAATTAATTGAAAAACAAATGTGGCGATAATAGGAATAGGCCACTCATACATCTTTGAATCATAAACTGGAGAAATGAGGCTTCCATGCCCCGACACCAGAACAAAATCACTTGTTGAAAAAATTATTTCTCTTCTTCTTTATGTTCACCCGCTGTAAACTCCGGTGAGAAAGTTATAGTTGTTTGTCCACATCTAAACTTTAGTCTTATTCCAGAACTTGAGTGTTGTGTGCACATTCATTTTACATTTTTGGCCTATTTTGCATACAGACTGTTTGGTTCCTTGTCTTTCAAGCAGATGCCCCCCGACTTCAAAAGATTTTAAATTTTGAAACCAAATGTACACACACACACACACACATAAGAAAGCAAACATAACACAAATATGTATCCATGTTTGTACAGATGCAAACAAAAAAGCACACATTCTGCTTAAAATAAAATACTGTGACACATGTACATAAATGTATGTACAGATGTACGCAGGTAAACAGTTAAAAACAGAAACATAGTGTTGAAAATGTTATCCATACCAGTTTTGCCTCCCTTATAAGCCACCATTCATATCCTCTCAAGTAATTTTCTTCCCAGCTATTGTGCATATGTGATGCTTCAGTGCCATCTAAACAAACAATAAAACTACATATGTATGATATACTATCATCACCAATCATCAAGTCCTTTACAGAACGTCCCTTTCTTTGCAGCACGCCTGAAAGTATCCCTTTCCCTAGCCAGCTCTCCGACCCCACGTGCTTTCAATGCCAATGCTTCTTCAATGTCCTGTATCCATCTTCGCTGTGGTCGACCCCTGCCTCGTCTTCCACAAACTGCACCCTCCATCACCGTCTTTTTCCAAGCCACCATGATGCTTGATGTGAAATAATATATCCTGGATAATAAGTAGTCGTAGTAGTAGTAATTTAATTATTATCCTGTTCAACCCTTCTATGTTATAACTGGGAGAAACAGATTTTTGTCTTTACTGAAATTGGATATTCATTTGCCTAAAATGTTTGGCTATTTAATATTGCAAAGATTATGTGATAATTATAAGTCCCAAGGAACGCATCATACATTCATAGGTTCCTACCTAGAAGCCCAATGAATGCATGATGCACCAATTTTATGTCTCTCTTTACCACCCCTTGGGCCTGTGATGCTAAACCTCTGGGACTTAAAGAGTAAAGAAGGGTGAAGATATAAAATAAATATCTCAACAACCACCGGTATCTAAAATTATAAGAAAAAAAAGAAGATGGTGCTGCATTGGGCACATCCTAGGGAGAAGCGAGCAGAGAACCATCAAACAGGCACTTAAATGGGAAACAGATAGATTTCGGGAAAAAGGATGTTGAAAACAAATCCTAAAATGAATGTTACTGAGAAATGTTAAGGATGGTGAAGTGGATTCCATCAAAAGAATTGCACAGGGTAGAACAGAATAGACGACTAGACTGTGAGCCTTATGTAGGGTATAATGGATTATGATAAGTTCACTCATAGGTAATAACAACATCTGATGAAATAATTCAAATACAATGTATGTCTCTATTGCTAGAGCTTATTTAATAACAAAGGATAGTTGACTGGTGTTCATTCTAAAAAGTACTCACAAACTACTTCATTTACTGTCTCTTTGTAAACTACTAACTGCAAAGTGTGATATCACTGATATTTCTAATTGTATGATTCAGTTCTTTCTTTTAATTTACAGAAAAACTGAACATAATGTTGTAACTGTTTACAAATGAACAATGAGGATATTTAAAAGCACTCATGCTTACATAATTATACTCTCAAATTTATTAGAAACATCTTTACAGTTATATAATATGAAAATGGTGAGGATATCAAAGACGTACATGGGGGTAAATATGACTGAAAATTTTAAACTAAAAGAAAACTTTAAGGCCTGCACCAGAACAACAGTCACCACATACCAGTACTTTGAGCATCTCCACCAATTTCAACCTTCAGAATCTGAAGGGATGCTCCAAAATTTGGCTGTTGAAAAACAAATTAGAAGCAGCTGAGTGACTAGCAAACAAGGAGAGAATAAAACAAAGATCATATTTACCCCCCCCCCCCCCTTTTTCCCTTTTAAAGGAGTTCAAGAGACACAATTTAAAGGTATTTTTCTTAGCTACTTAACATTGTTTTTGGTACTCCTTAAAACTACGGCCACTTATTATGGCATTGCAATTACGGAGTGGAAAAGGCACGAATCACAAAACAAAGTGAGGTCGACATGGCTGGTAGACCACGCGCTGCGACTCAAATTAGCGACTGCGTTCTTGTGATGCTACTGAAACGCAAAAGTCGGCACCAATTGGGCACTAGCCGGGCGCTATTGCCTTCATATTTAACAGAATTCCAATGGCGCCCCTGCCACAAGCAGCACATTTTCGGCCATTATTTGCAACTCCTGTGTCAAAATTATCAGATATAGCGGCCGTCATTATGGGTAAGTTCTCCACGTTACATGTGTTACCCTAACCCTAATCCTATTATGACAGCAGTGCTATCGCCATTTGCTTCGTTCCCTCTGCTCCACTCCGTAATTGCAATGCGGTCAGGGGACTAAACTCCGGCGTACTCCCCCGGCCGCCATAATAAGTGCATAATAAGTGGCCGTAGTTTTAAGGAGAACCTTGTTTTTCATTAAAGCATGTGATGAAAAGAAAGATGGAGAAGAGTGCAAGAGATAGATAATATTAAATATAGAAAGACAACATCCTGCCAAGAGATGAGTGGGACATAAAGCCAAGAGATGAGTGGGACATAAAGCCAAGAGATGAGTGGGACATAAAGCCAAGAGATGAGTGGGACATAAAGCCAAGAGATGAGTGGGACATAAAGCCAAGAGATGAGTGGGACATAAGGCCAAGAGATGAGTAGGACATAAAGCCAAGAGATGAGTGGGACATAAAGCTAAGAGATGAGTGGGACATAAAGCCAAGAGATGAGTAGGAAGAAGCTTGTAGGATTGCATTCTGAAGAGACTGGAGTGATGTGCTAGAGATTAATAAAAATTTGATCTTCAACTCTTTGAGTCCCAGGGGTTTTAGTATCAAAGGCCCAGGGGGTAGTAAAGAAAGTAATAAAATTGGCGCATCATGCGTTCATTGGGCTTCTAGGTAGGAACCTATGAACGTATGATGCGCTCCATGGGACTCAAAGAGTCAATATTTAGATGGCCCTTGTATTAAAACATAAAGTTTAAAAAGTTAATATCATATTTAACAGAGCAAAGTAATATAAACATTTTGCTTTGTTTAAGAGAGAACAAGGTAATAACATAAAATGTACTTCTTTTTATTTGTTCAAATGAGGATGTAACCGTATTGTGTTCATTTATAGTATGGCTGCGATATTTTGGCTGTCAACACCTCCAACTTCCTCAGCATTCAGTGCCCATGTTAGCTTTCCCAGATACATACAACACTGTAAACTTGTCCTGACTGTGAAGTAAATGGGTAAGCAATAAAAATAACAAATGAACTACACAGCTGGTTAATTAATGGCCTTACCAAAAACAGAAAGTCCAGAATTTCATTTCGAAGAGTTTCAGGGTAGTTAACCAGTAATTTAGAAGTGGCCTGGTGTAAAAATATAATCACATAAATATGTAAAGTGAACCAAAAAATTTCTTATTTAAAAAATATAACATGTAAAGTAAACCAACTATTTACCAAACAAAAAATATAATGATATTTGATTTTAATCATTAACATACCTCAGTAAATCCACTATATTAAATTGAATGCTGGTTATTATACCATGCTGTTATAAAACATAAACAAGAGGAAGAGTATGAATTACTACTGTAAGTCCTCCCCATGTGGGAGGCAATTTTTTGTTATTTGAAGCCCCACCCTGGCATTTGCAGGGGGCCCTGAATATAGCCGGGGCATAGATATGGCCTAACGGCTGAAAGGGGTTTCTGGGACCTCTCCACGGGTGATCCTCATCTTTGTATCATTAGGTGTTTATCGCTTGTGTGATGTCCTGGTGGGGTACAACAAGCAAGCAAGCAAGAAAGATTGTGATGTGTGTACAACCATTGTGCTATTGAAACAGTCAGCATTAACCGCTCAAAACATTTGCTGCAAGAGTTGGAGCATCTATGGCTATGCTTGGTGTGCTATGATGTTGATTCTTAAATTAGTGATCAATAATTAGTGTGAAAATTATATATTTCTACTACATTTACAATTTTTGTAATGGCTGTTTATAGTGACATTTTAGCTACAATACTGATGTATTTTTTTTAAAAATTGGTATATGCATTTGATTTAATTTGCCTTGTCCAATTTAAATAAAAACTATGTTTGCGAACGTGCTTTGTAATCCATGGTGCAGGGTTCTGCCCCATCTGTGGGCGATTTGGCAGCAGACTGTTTTGTATTAGTTTCAACAGTGGTATCGACAGCCAAAACAATGGCAAACTACTGAACGTAAAATTGCCTAATGAAATCACAAATAGCCTTAAAATGCTGGGGTTGGTTCTGCAAAGCCCTGTAAATGATAAGCAACTAACTAACTTAGCAGACAAAATTATCTTTTTTTGACAGAAGTTGAATTAATTGCCCCAGCATCTGACTTTTCTTTTAACATATGTATGTTAATTTCTCTGTTTATTCTTCCATAAAAAGTTATAATTAACCATAAATATTGAAATTCACTAGTTTGTTATTTTTTATTTTTTTTTATTTTATTATTTTTATTTACATAATTTCTGATTTAAATCACTCTCTCTTTGCTGCTCGCCGAAGATGATGTCAAGTGCAGAGCTCCAGCTCCAGCGACAATTGTGACCGGTACAATCAGTATTGGAACTCTGCGCTGACTGTTGAAGATGAGGACGGAGCACGCATGGGAATGCCCCAAGTGCTGTGATGTCTAATGAAAAAAATGATGCCTCAAACAGGTGCCAGTACTGCCATAAATGATTGTTATTACTATTATTATTATAACTGGCTATCCTCTGAATAATGGGCACATATTATGGCGGCTAAAATCACACCCTAACAGGGCCTCAGTCACATGTCAATTGCGAACTTCCGGCAGCAGATACCGCATCTCCTGCAGCTTCCTGTATTTTATTTGCTCGTAAGTTCCAGCATCTAGCTAAGCCCCGCGCGTAGCGGGTGGGAGATTCTCTCGGCTGTGACAGTAGTCGCCGGAAGTCTGCAACTGACATGATACTGAGGCCCTGTTAGAATGTGTTTTTGGCCGCCATAATATGTGCCCGTTATTTGGAGGATAGCCTCCTAATTATTGTGCAATCAATCATGGCTTGTGTCCCCCGCATCTCGCAAAAAAATTGTGGCTGTGGGGAGGGGGGTTGGACAGAGATGTCTCCCACCCGTTTTCTCTGTTGCAGGTCTGGTAGTCTTAGTTTCAGCTTCATAGCAAACGGGTCACACCATCTTTGCTCCTCTCCTGTGCCAACGAAAAACACACAGAATGTTTATCACAGTTTTAGAATTGCAGTTTATCATTGATGGTAGCAGAAGTCGCCAACAGATCAGCAGTTGCCCACGCGATCAATTTTAATCACATACGGGCACAACAACACTGCACCACAGGGATCGCACCATTTTCTGAATGTACAATTCACACCAACACGTTGGTCACAGTCGCAGTTATGTTGCTTAAATGGCCCCAGTGGTTTCCCAATATCTGTAACTAAACAAATTCTAAGCTTTTTCTGCACATAACTGAATATTCAAAATAAAGTTGGGGGGGGGGGGGAACACACACACACACAAGTAAATGATCTTTTTCATGCCTGAGGTTCAGAAAATATTATATTTTAATGCCTCTTTCCCATTTTAAGACTAAAAAGGACACAGTCGCGGGTGTACTCAATGTCATTTTCGTAATCTCCCGCCGCAATGGGGCCTGGGGACATCAAATGCAACCCGTCGAGCAGGCAAATCATTCTATACTTTAACAATTCCGGAATTCTCGAATACATTTCAAGAATCCTTTCATTGATTTTTATGATAAATTAGCCTGCACCGATGACCAATGATAATTTATTAAATATTAGCAAAGTTATCAACATAAATGGAGACAAACAAGCAAGAAGTGTAATGGATTACCCCTCCTCCGCTGAGTCCACCAATGCCATCAAATGTCCGGTTGGAACCTGGAGTATCATCAAACACGATAACAGCCCCAGAGACAACGCCCACGGTTGCCACAAGACAGGCCGCTAGCAAGCACTCAATGGTACGTAGTTCCCACATCTTGTGTTTTTTTTTTTTCAACAGCTACTTTTTGAATGTGTCTATCACTGTAGCGGTGCAAGGGACTTACGCAAAGTTAGCTGTCGTGTAAAGTCGATATATGAAACATGTCTGGTGTTTTTATAGACACAGCCACTTTCGTATTTACATACAAGTATGTAGGACTGTGCATACACCGGGCGGCAAGTGGGTCATGTGACCTGCGATCATGTGATACCGGAGCGAAGTGTCAATTTCAGGTTTTAAACGGAAGGCAATATGATTGGGGCTCTCCCCCCCCCCCCCCCCCCCCCCCCCCCCCCCCCCCCCCCCCCCGTAAACCCTAAGGTAGTAGCCAGGAAGGGACAAACCAAACGATTAATTTCATTCGATTATAACCAAACGAAACATGTTAAACAAGATCGCAATTTCACAGACAGGTAGACAGACAGATGGACAGACAAGTAAGTTATTAGGTAGGTAGATAGGTGGATGAACAGACAGACAGACAGACAGACAGACAGACAGACAGACAGCCAGCCAGCCAGACAGCCAGCCTTCCAGACAGACAGACAGACAGACATACGGACGGACGGACGGACAGACAGACAGACAGACAGACAGACAGCCAGACAGACAGACAGACGGACGGACGGACGGATAGATGGATAGATGGATAGATGGATAGATGGATAGATAGATAGATAGACAGACAGACATACAGGCAGGCAGACAGACAGACAGACAGACAGACAGACAGGCAGGCAGGCAGGCAGGCAGACAGACAGACAGACAGACAGACAGACAGACAGACAGACAGACAGGCAGGCAGATAGATAGATTAGATAGATAGATTAGATAGATAGATAGATAGATAGATAGATAGATAGATAGATAGATAGATAGATAGATAGATAGATAGATAGATAGATAGATAGATAGATAGATAGATAGATAGATAGATAGATAGATAGATAGATAGATAGATAGATAGATAGATAGATAGATAGATAGATAGATAGATAGATAGATAGATAGATAGATAGATAGATAGATAGATAGATAGATAGATAGATAGATAGATAGATAGATAGATAGATAGATAGATAGATAGATAGATAGATAGATAGATAGATAGATAGATAGATAGATAGATAGATAGATAGATAGATAGATAGATAGATAGATAGATAGATAGATAGATAGATAGATAGATAGATAGATAGATAGATAGATAGATAGATAGATAGATAGATAGATAGATAGATAGATAGATAGATAGATAGATAGATAGATAGATAGATAGATAGATAGATAGATAGATAGATAGATAGATAGATAGATAGATAGATAGATAGATAGATAGATAGATAGATAGATAGATAGATAGATAGATAGATAGATAGATAGATAGATTTAATTGCAAAGGGTTTTACCCTATAAAACTCAGCCTTTCATCACAGGTTGGCTGTTTGTCGGCTGTAGCCCCAGGAGGGGTCCCTGAATGCTGGTCAGAGCAGTTGTAATTTCGCGCCCACTTCGCCTCGAGATTCTTCCCTCTTTGTTGCATACAAAATAAATAGGGCGGTGCCCTAACACGACTACACTGCTGGCTGGAGGAGTCTATCGACTGCTGAGTATCTCCAAATTCCCAGCCTTGACCTTGTTCTAGCCAGCCATTGCTGTGATTTGCTGAACCGTGAACGTTTTGTCAGTTAAATCCTAATGTGTCACAACAGATGTGCAATTTCAGCATCATTTGAGCATTAAAAACAATTTGTATCTACAGGGTGTTTGTAAAGTCACGCTAAATTCTGTATGCAAAACAAATGTGAAAAATAATGTAGGCCTTTCTAGAGACGTCATCGAAAAAAAATGTGCTTGAAAAGATCATTAAATTGGTTTAAAAAGATACTATAGTCTAACGCTCTTTTGAGGAAGTTGGACACTAAGAAAAAAAGTAAAGAAGCTTGTCCACGCCTTCAGGCGTATTTTTCATATAGGGCTAGACTATATTTTATAGACCAATTAGCCTTTATTTCTGCAAGTTAATGTTTTACCAACACTATGCTATCAATGCCAAACGTGGACACTTACATCCTCCAATGAACGTGAAATTGTGACAACAGAGATGAAATGCCTTAGAAGAGCTGCAGGAGTTTCAAGGAAAGACAGAATACGAAATCATGAAATCAGACGAATGCTAGGAATTAAGCCAGTCTTACAGGTCATCAAAGAACAACAAATGAAGTGGTTTGGGCACCTAACAAGAATGCCCTGGTACTATCCGCCACAACAAGCCACACTAAAACGTTACAACGGGTATAGAGCGAGTGGAAGAACTCGGAAAATATGGAGTGATGGCATTAAGAGCAGCCTTACAGAAATGAACATCAGTCTTAATAGCGCTCTTGACAGAGCCCATCAACGAACATTACATCTCCCCCCGACACTTCGATGAGGTACAAGGTGGAACAGAAGAAGAAGAATGTTTTACAGCTTGTCTGTTTATTGTCCATGCTTTATACGTGAAATCATGATATTCATGGCATCATGAAGAAGGTAGTTTACCAATGCTTTCCACCTTAGCAATGACGATACTTATTGGGTGACTGTAGCATCTGTCACTATTGCAAATGGTGCTATAAATATCCAAATTACCTTGGCAAACAAATAGTTCCACCACACCTTGGTAGTGGGTAAAGAGAGAATTGTAATTTCAAAGTGGAAATTTTACTCTAAAACGGTTAGCTATTTTATGATAAAGTTGAATGGTGAAGGTCCCTGGAACCAAACGGGCAGTGCAGCTGACCAGATATACATAACTAAAAGATACATCTATAAATGATCTAGACGATTTTCAGTACACAATGGAACAGGGCAGGCGGACTTTTGGTCAGGTTGAAAAGTGCACCACCAATATTAAAACTCTTCTTTCATACTGAAGAAAGGGACAAAGCAAGTCTGGGAATGTCGAGAGTGCAGTGAGGGCTATTCATTTATTCATTCATTCATTCACTCATTGTATTTTAGAACCATATACACTCTCTACAATACATGCAAATGTTAGGGCTCTGACAACCTTAACGCCAGTGGAAAGGACCTAATGTTTACAATTCATAGTCTTTCAGAGGTCTAGCAACCAAAGTCTGGAGAATACATATAGGCCTTCTTGTTAAAACAGTTACGAAAACACATTATTTGAAACCGCCCCCCCCCCCCAACCTCCTAACCTCAACCCCCCTCCCCAGCTTCTTTTATGGAGAACATATAAACATAACTGCCGAAAACACATTAGGGTATTGTTGGTTAGTTAATTAACTTGCAAAATAAAAAATTACGTTTTGTAACGGCTGTTATTTTTAATGATCAACAACATTTGTTGTTCTCTGTCTTTATCGTCTGCATTTACAACATTTTAGGGCAGTGTTGGATAGTGGGCACACTCACTGTTTTGAGTCATGGCAAAGTTTTTGCTTCTGCCAGACTGTGGCTGTTGCATTTTTGTTCCATTTGTAGACTGAAAGGATATAGTTTCTTCGCCCAGCTACTGAGTTGAGCGCATGGTGCGACCCTGTGAGCTGCAGATTTCGTTTGGAATGTTTTTCGACTGTGACCAACGTGATGTTATGAATTGTTGATTTAAAAAATGGCGCGTGGCGTGTCGCTGCAATATTGGTGGTGCCGTTATGTGATTAAAACTGCTCGCGTGTGCGACTGCTGATTTGATGGTCACCTCTGTTTCCTTCGATGATGAACTGCATTTCTAGTGTCGGACTGTTTGTGTTAGTACTTTTGATGGCTGTCTTATGCTTTTAATGCGTGTGTATGCTAGTGCAATCTTTCCACAAGGGACTGTGATGGACATTCTGTGTGTTTTTCGTTGGCACAGGAGCGGAGCAACTATGGGGTGACCCGTTTGCTATGAATCTAAAACTAACATTAACATAATAAGGTTTAACCTGGTCCTCACACCTATCATGGCGAGTCTAACCTCCCTGTGTGTTGTGTCTATTGATTCTCGCCCCCCCCCCTTTTTTTTCCCCCACCTGTCTCGCCTTCTATTTTGCTCTCCTCTGTTTGCGTGTATAAATGTGTATGTACATGTATATATGTGTGTGTACTGCGATAAGTGTTTGTGTGTGACCTTCGATTAGCGTCCCAGTAGATTAAGGAAGTATGTTATGAGCAACTTGTCTCCACACGTTGATTTGAAAGCAGTGGCCAAAAGATGCACCTGATAAAATTATAGGTCAAAGGTCTCGTCGAATAAAACGATATCAGTCACTACCTACCTCGGCAGGTCAAGCTTCCGTAAAACAAAGATAAATGTACAGGATTTAACAATCTTAGCTGGATTCGGCTGCGTTGTCTTAAGAAGTTACAGTTAACTGCGAATAAGAAAAATCTTCTTTGCAGACAAAAATATCTTCTCCTGGGTTTCACCAGCCATAAACATCGTCAGCAAGTTCTCGTTGTTCATCCACTTCTAGACTTTAGTCTTGTTCCAGAACCCAAGTGTTCCGTAAAAATTCCTTTTATGTATCTGACTTATTTGTACGCAGTCTGTTGTTTCTTTGCCTCTTGTGCCCATGGAATCCAGCTATGAAAGAAACATCCACAATTAGTTACCTTTAACAAGAAGGTATGTTGGGAGCCTTGCGAAGACATGACGAGCAAAAACATAAATCGGGTACAAACTACTGAAGCTTAAGGCCACCCCCCCCCCCCCCGGGGCCAGATCCTATGTAACTCCCCGCAGCACCGTTCTCCTCAGACTATAAATAATGATCTATTTGTGCCTCCGCACTGCACCCACTCCCAAATCTTCTAACGATCCAATCTCACTACCCAGAGACCAAGGGAAATACTAGAAGTCCAAGTCCACGTAAAAAAATCCAAGCCCTTACTGAGGATTGTACCTGGAACCTTTAGCACTCGAGGCAGACACAGTGCCCCAAGGACACGATGCCTCGAAACCATGCAGCCGCCCCCCCCCCTTCCCCCCCCCCTTTTTCCCC